GACTTGCATGCACGCATGCCTACGTAAGGGATGTATATTCACGTCAAACTCCTTCCCTGTGCACGTTCTGGAACAAGGCACGTAGAGGCTCCCTTCCGGACCTTCCGAAAGACCCCACGACCAGTTCACCTTCGTCTCATTTCGCTACAGCAGCCACGAAATTCACTCTCTACCCCTTACCTATATACAGGACGTTTCAAAACAATAGTTTCATAAAGTGGTAGTAAAAGGATCTCGTAAAAGGAACATTACGTCTTTATATGACGTATGTATGTTTGAGTTAACCACGAAAAAGGCTTTTGTACACAAAAATTCGACTCTGATCCTTCTAGTTTTCGAGATATTTCAAAAAGTATGCTTTCAACCCTATCCAGCTCTACCTTTCAGGACTAATTTTTCTTTTTAATATGAACGATGATCGATAAAAAGGATTCGTGTTAAATATTTTTTTGAGAACCATCTCTCATATAAATCGGTGTGTACGGGTTGGATATGCTCTCTTGCAAGCTTTCAAAATGAGGACTTTGTAGACTGTAAGTGACATCGAGGCACAGGATACTTTCCGTGTAAAAAATAATAAACAGGAAAGAATACATAGTTCTTCTCAAAGTCGTAGTTCTAACATCTCAAGGTTAGAATTGTTCTTAGGGTCTTCAATGTCTCTCTGAAACAGAGTTACTTATATCTATCATTGTCATGACGTTTGCTTCTTTCTGACACACATTCCTGCCCAAACCTTGTCGCAAAGAGAAATTGAACCTTTAATATCTGCGACGAAACTTCGGGTTCTAACATTAGATGACTAACCCTGTATATTCACGGAAGCTATATAAACTCTTTACTTTCGCCTTATGCATATCTAATGCCCTCGTTGGCCGGATATTTCCAAGTCAAATGCGAGCGATCGATGCACGCTAGAACGATCGGGTGAAACCAGCACGGCACACCGAAGCTAAAAAAGGGACAAGAAAAAGGCTAGCAACGGGAATGCTGGGACCGGGTAGCGAGAGTAAACTAAGAGGTAGAGGAAGAAGTTAGGGGCGGACGATAACGGGGCGAAGGGGGGACGAAGAAGAAACATGGGGAACGATGTAACGAGAAAAATGGGACGCGCAATGAAGCTCAGGTCCGTATTTATTTTGTCTTGGAGCTCACCGCAAACTCGACGCAAGAGAATCGGGGGCCTCTGGTCTTTCGACGGCAAAGTCCACGGGGTAGAACGTGAAGTATGCCGACCATGAGTTTTCCGTTGCAGGCGGGGACTTCGAAAAGTTCAGCAATACAGCAGGAGGGGTTGCACGCGCACGATCCATGCATGTGGAAGGTTCTCGCGATCCACGAGGGCTGGTACTCCCCCAAGGCTCTCGATTCCCGGCTGAGATGAACACCCGACAGGGGATCCTCTGGTGGCCTTCGACCGCGTTCCCTATTTGCCTTTCTGCGTGTACGAGGTTAATCAATTTAATAAACCCAGCTACTGACTAAAGGTGTGTCTTTCCTATACTGAAATCGAAATAGTATATGGGTGTGGTTTTGAATAATTTTTCAATTGCTACTTTTATTACCGCTATGGACTGGTTGCCGGGTGTTATGTCTGACAGAAACCTCTGTGTGTGCAAATTCTTAAACTAACCTCATTACGATGTTATTTCTTTCTCAGTGTTACTTTTAGACCCCGATTCGTAAACAGCCAATTTCGTTCTTTTCCATTTTTGAGGTTAGGATCGGTATTCGGCATGTGTTAATTTGATTCTATAAACTGAACATTTGACTTCGTGTGTTCATCAGATATAGGTTATGTAAAGATCACCGTGCCAATTATTCCGATATCCGGTGTCCAACATTCCCGGACCCATTTTCCATGCATCCGTTACGCATTAAATTTGTAACAAAATTCGGCCGGGACAATGCAGGATTACTGCGTTCCACGCGATCATTGCACAACGAGAATTCGTTATCTCGGAATGTTGTTATTTATGACGACTTTGATAGACAATCGCCCAGTGTCAGATATAAAAACGTCATAAAATTCATCCTCAACAACCCACGGTAATTGAACTTAAGCAATAATTGGAGTGAAATTGAAAAAATAGTATCATTGACAGGAATTAACGCGTGGCCCAAACGATCGCTGTCCATATAAAGCAACGGTATCCCCCACAACGAGGGTGAAAAAACAATGGTCGTTCGGTGCAAACGGTCGCCTGAAAACAAGTAGTTGCGCGCGGATGTACATTTAAACAGCAATATCCCTCTGGTTGCTCGTAGTTATCCAGTTTGTTTCGATCCGACCCGAAATTCCATTCTGAAACGATCGAAATGAAAGTCGATCGGTTGACACGCCATGTCACTCAATTACACAATCAGGTTATAAATATTTGATCACGTGTACGCAGACCGCTACGCGCAGCTTGCATGGCGGCTACTTGATAAACGCAGTTTGTCGATTGTGTACAAGCCGTGTCATCGTCGCAAATTAGAAGCGAACGATAACCGAATTCGTGTAACTAACGTAACCTACGGGATTCCACGTTGTTGCAAACGCGTTAGACGAACTGGCCCCCTACCAAATAGCCTACTCTTTTTCCAGTATAATACGCGGTTACTTTTCCCTTGCATCAGTTTACCCATTATATCCGTCATAGGGCAACACTGCTGTAGTCTTACGTCCCGCGCTTCTTTCCTTGCTATCAAAGTTTTGAAATGTATTCGAATAGCACACAGGGCGCTGCCATTCCTCAGATCTCTTTTTCTACCTCCTGCACCCGCTAAGCGACGCGAAATGAATTGCACCCGCGGGTATCTGTCAGCGGAAAGAGTAATTTAATGCACGAGCCCGAACTCCCGGACGATAATAAAAAGGCTAAAGCGTACTCGGCATCGTGTTGTATTAATTTAAGTTCAGCTACGCACCGTCGTCCGACGATTGGGGGACACCGAAACGAAATTAAGTTAAATTACAAACGGTCCACACCAAGTTGGTCCAACTTGTCTTATTTCGAGATTAACAGAAGGAGGTAAGAGATGGGAAGGAAGATAGGCTGAGTGGTGCTGTGTGCGGTAGGAAAAGGAGTGGAAGGAAAAATAGGTGTAGTGGGGATTAAGGAGCACAACAAACGGAGATGGCGACCGATGGGGACGGCTCGAAAGTATTGCAGAGAGCTGCGTTCACGAGTTCCATGATAACAGGAAAAGTTGAATTTCCTCTTGTTCGTTGCGTTGCTCAGCCTCGCGACTGTCCCTCGGGCCGGAAGTTGAAGGTTTTGCGTAAACCGCCAAGTTAAAAATGCTTTTAATTAAAATCCCGCCGCTAATGCCCCGCAGATCCGCCGACTGCATTACGAGTGCTGCTATGCAAGAAATACTAATTGACGACGGCGTATATGGCGCCGTGCTGTCTGAACTTAATAACTCGTTCTTGGATGACGTAAATATACGATTAGATTATATATTTCTATAGTTTAGTGACTAAAAATGGTTTTCTTCGTGTAAGCTGTAAATTTAGTCCTGTTGGTGTACATAATTGATTCTTATTTTATAAATTTTTTACTGCAATTTTTATTCATATGTTTTTAAATATATTATTATGCCTCGTTTCTTGCTGTGACATTTTCTATAGGGAAATTGATAGTAGATGAAGTTAAATTGACATGAGTCTGGAATACGGTATTATAGTCTATATTCAGCAAACATAGTCAGGAACTACTTGCTGGTTGGTCGAAGAGTCTTGATCATTATACGTGTCTCTTCCTTTTCTTTTTTTTTTTTTGTAAGTAATGATTTATTGATTTTTTCATTTTTATTGTAATTCATGCTTGAAGAATTTTGTTGAATAATATTAATTTATTATTTATTTATTATTTACAATAAATTTAATAGTTTTTAATTTTTAAACATTGTAACTGCAGCTATGGTTGAAATGTTCTTATAATTATTTAGAGATGAGAATATGAACAATATATACATGATCATGATGATTTACGGAAAAATCAGGGCTATTGGGGGTTATCAAATAAAAATAATCACGATACGTATATACAAAAGTACAGGTACTGGAGTTAATTGGGTCACTGCGTAATTGATAGCACAAGTTACAATATTTGGAGATGGAAAAAGTTATATTTTACCCAAATATTTATACCTATTACTAACAAGAGTCCTTGCAAATACACAGTTTTTGGTAACGTAACCTACTTATGCGTGTACCGCACATATTTTAATTCAGAAAATAAAGTGCTCATTTTGACGTATTATCTAAAATAAAACTAAACTCAGATTTACGTATGCATATGTGAAGTATTAGGATTACTTAACAAGATATTTATGAATAAATATCTGCCATATTATCTGACTGCAAACTTTCTAAATCATTATTGTATACATGTACATTAGTATTACATCCTGAAAGCTTTCAGCAATCTCAATATTTCCTTGTAACGGTACATTTAATCCTTGGTAAAAGGAAACTACGTACTATAATATGAGAAGTTAGGATTACGAATAGCAATTTATACCTCCCTCACTTTTCATGTGATTATTAATGTATCCTTTGTTACCGTATAATACATAGTTCTTTCTTTACCTTCATTTTTGTTATTCTTTTTACATAACAAAGGCACTATGCATATTATCATTATCATCAAGATTAACAACCAAATGGATAATTTCTTAGTGTTAGGAGCAATTTTGAATAAAAATTTTTATGAACTCGGTTTCAGTTTTTGCAAGTATAAATAAAATGTTAATAAATTCATTTGCAAGACTAATGCAATTAATCTTGACTAGCAATGTCGACCATCCCGCTTAACATATTAACAATTCTTCTCTTATTCTCTTTATTTCCAATACTCGAATCAAAGCTTCCATCTACAAGAACTCCCCCTGACGTCCGTAAATTATATCCAGCCCCATCTTCCCTCCAGAATAAATAACGCATCCGTATGTACATGGTACACTCGAACATGTTCTAATCTTAGCCATCATGTTTCTCTTGTTAACAGAAATCCTCGGGATGGAGCTAAGAACAGCGAAACTGTTACTGTACTCGACGCTGGTGGTCGTCGTGTGTTGGAGCCAGGAAGATTGGACGACGCAGTGCTCATCGTCATGCAAGTGCAGATGGATCTCCGGCAAGAAGGCCGCCGAATGTATCAAGCAGAACCTCACGCAAATACCTAGCGGCCTCTCACCAGAAATCCAGAACTTCGATCTGACCGAGAACCGTATCACCCACCTGATGCACGACTCGTTCAGCAGAGTGCACCTGGTGAATCTGCAGAAGCTGGTATTGCGTAAATGCGAGATTGAGTCTATCCACACAGATGCGTTCAACGGTCTGAAGATCGTGATCGAGATCGATCTGTCGGCGAACAACATCAGGACCCTGTACCCAGGCACATTCGAGGAGACCCAGCGACTCAGGGTGCTACTGTTGAACGAGAACAAGCTGAAGGTGCTGGAGAACGGTCTGTTTCGTGACCTATTGTATCTGCAGAAAGTGATGCTGTCTAACAACGAGCTAGAGCGGATAGAGGAGAAGACGTTTCGTAATCTGCCAGGTTTGAGACTGTTGACGCTGGACAGGAACAACCTGAGCGTACTGAAGGTACAAAGCTTCGAGTCGTTGCCAATGCTTGGCAGTTTGGAACTGCATAACAATCCATGGAATTGCAACTGTGATCTGAAGAGATTTCGGGACTGGACGATAGAACGGAAACTGTACACCAAACCCACCAAGTGTCAGCAACCGCCCAGCCTCGCTGACAAGATGTGGGATGAAATCAGCAGCGACGAGTTCGCCTGTAGGCCTGAAATCTTCGCTATTGGGCCATCAGTAAGGGTCGAGGCTGGCAAAGGGAACATCACCTTTTGGTGCAAGGCTTCTGGGATACCACAACCGCAGGTACAACGTGTATTTGTGCGTCAGTTGCGTTTTTCTTCGTCGAACGAGGGGAAACAGCTTGGTTAGATTGCGTTGGGAGCGGGATGTAGTGGGGAACAACGTAGTATGGTGAAGCATTGCAAAGAAAAGCGCGAGTAAGACGTTGACTGCGGTAATCCACAGTAACTTGCAAGCAATTTGGTATACAATCTGGCTCTGCGCGGAGGTTAGTTCCGTTGAAAAGCTTGCGCCGGTTAAATCCACATTTAAGCAACTTAGCCTGAAAGCCTCTAAACGATCCACGTTTCAATTGTTTCCTGATTTCGTCGTGGAATGCATCTTTTTAATATTTATCCGCTGTGAACGCGTGTTTCCTTACTTTTAATTGTAATCGCTCGCGAAATGTTTGAACACGGAATAAGAACGTCTGTTTCTCTAAAGAGGGCGAGGTAGAATATTTTGGAAGGACTTATACGATAGATTTATTTCAGTGTTCGTACATTTTTCATGAAAGTGTATCTCTTCGATTTGTACCTTCACTTTCAATTTAAAAAATTTCACTTCTAATTCGATTAAGACAAAAATAAACAAATTTTTACGAAAGAATAGGACAACAAGGATTTTAGTTACAGAAGATCTTTTAAAAATGTAAAAACTATTAAATCTTAAATTTCAATAGGTTCTCTTCAAAAAGGATATCATTAGGACTAGGCTGAAACCAATTTATTGTCGCAAGACTTCTTTGATCTAACTGGAAAAATCCTTTGATTTCGCGAAGACTAGCACATGACCAAGTAAAAAGGGATAGACAAAAGGACAGGCAAAAGAGAAAAGAAGTATCTTTAGAAATCGCGTCCTACAAAAGAGCAGCATAGTTAGGCAAAGCTTTACACGCTGTAACGAAATCCTTTAGAATTTTCTGCGCCGTGAAAACTAAAAATTATGGTCATCTTTGAAACTCACTCATTCGAATGTGCTTCTATTGTCATCCTAAATCTAAATCGCTATTAGACGTTAGATATTAGAAATTGTAGCTCTATGATCGCTATAAAAACAGCAGAGCGTAGACTATCTAGACAGCAGGGCGATCGCACTTCGCTAATATCCCAAAATTCGATTCAAAGGCTAATGAAACTTTTCTGAATTTCAGTTATCATGGGTCCATCGGTCGAAAACTTTGAACAATCACACTCGACGGCACAACGGCGAGAAGAACTACGTCTTAAAATCGAACCACGAGTGGCTGAACCTAACGATACCTGACATTACACTCTCTGATAAAGGTGACTACGTCTGTCTGGCGAAAAGTCCAGGCGGCAACATAGAGAAGAACGTCACTCTGATGATAGCTGGCGACGCTGTTGGCGGCAGGGACAATATAATCAGTCTGCCACTGGCGTTAGGTTTGGGTGTGACGGCGCTGTTGCTTCTAGTGGTCACTGTATCACTTTGCGTGTGCTATTGTCGACGCAGGCGAATCAGACACGACGAGAAGAGCCTAGAGGCGGCCTCGATGGAGCACCACGGCCTAGGCGAACAGGAGAAGTCCCTCATCACTACCATAAATCCCGTGGTGAAACCACCCAGACGATACGAGGCGCCTTCGGTGACATCGCACGGTACCGAGATGACGGAGCTGAATCGTACATTGCTCGACAACGACTCAGTCTTCGGTCAGTACACTGCCTACATTACTAAACAGTGCGTAGCCAGGTGCTAGCTACTAACCATTTGTTAGTCCCCGAGCGGCGATTACGTCGGGACGTTCGCGGAGCGGCCGGCTATCAACCGGGCTCGATGGCGCCACGATCGCGTGCAACGTGTGCGCGCACGAAACGAGGAAATCGAACGAGTAATGGGTTTCCGACTGTGAACCTTGGCCGATCGATGCTTAAATATTTCCATCGCCTTTATTAATTCGGGAATTTAGCACGGTATCTCTGGACAACTTTCGATTGAAACCGTAATCTTTAAGTAGGTGAGAATGGCAAATATGTCTTGAACAGGGTTACCCTTGATGGATTAAAATACCTGACACACATATCGAGTAGATCAGGGAGTCAATTTGATCTTCGCAGGAAGAATGTGCGAGGAGAGGAAGAATTTAATTGTGATTCACTGTATGCATTTTCTACGAACTGAAGTATTCGTGATAAAACGTGTGAGAAAATACTTGGTATCTAACCGAGAGAAAGATGCTACTACTATAAAAATATGGAAGGTAGTATGAAGTATGCAGTTCTTCGACGTCTTTTATATTTTTCATTCAGGCTGGTACAATGAATTGTATGTTTAAAGGAGAATGTGATTTCATAAAAGGAACAATGGCATTTAGGTCTGCTACATTGTGGCTGCAAAAGTACTAATGTTGTAGAAAGTTTTATCGCTAAACTGACCAACTTTTTTTCTATTGGATGTTTTATTGCCGACCATAAAAAGCATATTGGCTGAAGAAATTACATAACTCGTACTGTAACTCGTACTGTATTAAAAATGGGGAGTCAGTATATTCAAAGCAGCCTTTTGCTTCTATTATCGAATACAAAATGAAACTTCGTGACTAACGGTAGTTACTCAGTAAATTAAAAACCACTTACAGAAACATACGAGCAATGAATTCAACTTTAATTAAATACAAACATAGGTACAAACATAGAAAAATTTCTAGAAGCAAATAACAGTAAAATACTGTCTCTGCGTAAAATTCAATCTAACTCTATCATATGAAATATTTTTTAACTTTCAAACTTCAGATTCTTGAATAGAGTAATTTCTGTTTCATCAAGTTATATGATTTTGCCTAGAGATCTCTATAATTCCACAACCAAGTATTTTACAGCATTTTTGACATGACAATGCAATTCCAAAAGCTTATGCAACTTTTCATTTATTCCTGCATGCTTCCATTTATTGCTACGAAGCTTTAATTACCTAACTTGAAATCATTTAGATGGACATTTACTTGAATCAAAGATAGAGCTAGAGGGGAGAATCAGTGAATTCCAATTATATAGAGTGCTCCATATTTTATTTATTTCTACAAAAGCTATCAAAGTATGTGCTTATATTTTGTTATACTCTAAAACTTAGCATGTAATACATTACTTCAAAGCCTACTAAATTATTCCACTGCATTCACAGATGTTGTGGATCACTCGCTCTGTAACAAATATTGAATCGGTCTTCTACATGCACTTCATGTAAGAATAACAAACTATAATGGAATCCCACTGTGCTCTAAGTAAAGTCATGTAACTCTAACAGAAGGTTCTTCTCTGAACACGGAGGGTCGACGAAAATTAGGGCCAAACACCCTGTCCATTTTCCTCTATGTGTTCGTCCTACAGCGAAACACTGTTTCGTAGCAGAATCATCGTCCGCTGATATTGACACGAAGATCAATCAACGGAACGCGAACAATGGAATTTCCCCGATAAACGGTAACGCCGAAACGAAATCCAATTTAGATATTGTTAACGCCGTGGCCATTAATCTTCCGATTTCCTTCGAAAACATTCGTTCAACCCCCGGCCTGGAAAACGGTATCGTCGCTAATTAAGGGACGGAATAGATTAATTGAATCGTATATGGTCGGGTGTATTTAACTTTAAGACAATCGTGTCGGCCGGTAATGCTGGCGAGGTTCAGTAATCCCGCCGGCAGATAAATGAGGCGCCATCGATCCTGGGTTAACAAGAATCGACCAAGACTGTTGCAAGATTAATGAGAGCGTGCAACATGTAACGATACCGTAAGAAAGAAATGGAGAGAAAGATAGAACGAGAAAAGCATTCGTCATTTGCGTCTGGTCGTTATCGATAGCGTTTTTTTCTCCGCGAACAACCTCGTTTCCCCCAAAGAAAACACGTTGCATGAGGAATGCCTGAGTCTGACGTCGGTTACCCGTTGATTAGACACCGCGTATGCTTGCTTCGAATGATACAGTGCGCTCGTGAAGTCAATGAAGCCCGAAAGTACAAGTATTCCAATATCCTACATAGGGACGTAAGACTTCTAGGAAAATATCATATTCGAATATAATTTTCTGCATATTTAGGATTCTTCCTTTGTTGAAGGTAAATCTCTAACGATAGTATAGGGAAAGTTAATACATCAAATTTTTGGGCAGTCCCTAGGGATTGACAGTAAACTTTCAGTCTCTAGGGACCACTAGCATCGATTTCAAAAAATAATTCCATATGATTTATCGAGTAATGAAAAATGTGTGCAAAGGTTTTCGATGGATTTTATTGGCACTATTGAAGGAAAAATGAGTCTTCTGGCTTTTTTGTTTAATTTCTAGTTCTTTGTTAAAATTCAAAATTAATTACTATTAATTAACTTGGTAGGCTCTGGTCTACTGTTTGTTATTAAACACGTATAGCTGGAGACTTAGAAACTGCAATCGGTCTTGAGTATCGGCGACATCTTGCGAGTCATTTCGGTACCAATTGGGATTGCCACTTAACACGATAACTCTCGAGCGCGCTGTGTTGTTCGAACCGACTGCATATATGTACCTACTCGCTGTGACTTCACAGACGCGTCGCGAAACGATTATTTTGATAGACTTGTAAATAGATCGATTCAGGCCCGCGAACGGATAAATTCTATTATATCGATGGAGTAAGCGTTTAAGAGAGTCCAAGTATTTTTGTCCTTTAGTGTACGGCTGCCGTAAGTGGTGATATCCCCTTGTACATAAACCTCGTCGAAGAAAGCGACGATGACGATAATAACGGCGATCAACGAGAAAGAAGGGGGCTAATCATGCACTCGACTTGCGTAGTTCAATTTGCGTGTACATAGCACGAGGGAAAGCGTATACAAAGAAACGACGACGAATGATTGCTTCGAGAAATGGGGTATAACAGATAGGGTTGAGCGAAACGAGAATAAAACCGGTAGGAAATGGACGAAGGATCGGGACATCAGAGAAGAATGCTATCAGCCGTTGATTGAAACGTGGTTACTCGCCCTCTAGCGTAAATAATGAAAATACAGGCAACAATAGGGGAGCGAGTGCTCGGGATTCTGTAAGCATAGAATGGTGATTAAAGCGATAAGGGAAAAAGGAAAGTGCGCATGGGTTCGCGACATTTGCCTCGGATGCCACAAAGGGTGGATAATAATCATTACCCAGCGTTCTCCGTCTGAATTAGCAAGCTGCTGGTTTTATTGAGTACGATACGAACGATCCTTCCCCGCGTGTCGCCGCGAAACCCTGTACAATATGTATGCAATCCTCGCGTCTCCGTCTCTTTGTCTATGCACTTTCAAAGACAGTAATTGAAATTGTCGAGAATCTCGTATCTGAACAGCCACCTTCCGCATCTCAACTACCTCTACGCTCACCCGGTATCCCTTTGTATCCAATTATTGGATACCCGGTATCCCTTTGTATCCAATTGGTCGTGTGCAATCTTTTTTCTCCTACCCTTTGCCCTACTTCTGTTCTGACCGTGCTATCGAACGGGATTCGAGTAGCGAAGAAACGAGCCACGATAAAAACTTGTATGATTATTAGCCCCCATTGCCATCCAGACACCCCAAGATCTCACGCCAGCGTTGGTGTAGAGACTCGATCAGGTGGTATCGCGAGATTGGGGTTGCGCTGCGAAGAATCTGAGCGAAGATGGCGGAACAGAGTGTAGGATTGGAAGACTGGCGCGATGAAACGAACATGTATATACATTGTATATACCTTCTATCGTGTTGATCCGTGCTTCATTTCCTTGACAGATTACGTTACGCGTGGCGACAGCGCGCACTCGTCGCGTAGATTATAGCTTTGAGGCAGGTGAGACACGTAAGAATCACGACCTACTTTCCTGTGTTGAAACTTTATCGCGGAGGACATGATCGATTTACGTGTCTCTCTCGATATAAGCCGCGGACAGGTCTTGCACATTATGTAATCTTACCCGATACTGCTGCGCGGCAATTGACGTGGTTCCCCTGCAAAGGAGGTATCCAGTCTGGATATTTTTATCATTACCGAGTTCTAGCCCGCGAACTTGGCGTTTCAAATGTGAGGAAAGACGTCTGAGCCAGTCTGAAAGGAACTTTCCTGAGAGAAGTTTTGCCCAGATGGCATACTAAAGAGGCCACTCCGGTAGAGAGAGACTGTCGATGGATGCTAGGGACTTTTCTACCTATGATAATAATCCTATTTAATCGTACATATTTTAGGAACAAAATTGATATCAAATTTTAGTCTTATTATTGTCCAAGAGTAAATCTTTTGTATTATATTTGCATGCCTTTTTGTATTATTTCGTTACCGTATTTTAGGCTCGTACACGACATCAGGTGAGTCGACATGAACCAAAGTACTTTGGGTGATACTTAAACTATATCAGACTCCAAAATTATGCATATCTTTTAAGATAAAGTTTAAGCAGAAATTGTTCATTGATAACTTAACTAAGTTTACCTTAGTCTTAAGGAAATGCAAAATCTCGATCGCTAGACCTCAATCGACCAATTTTACCTATTTCTCGAAGGAATTTCTACACGCGAACGTACGATAAGACTATACAGATCGATTTAATTATACTCGTAAAAATGTCGTGGTTAATGTCATCGTACTAGCCCAGGAATTCAGGTGCAGCAACAAGATTCCTGTCCTTGCACCGAATCGCAACCCCCAAGTCGCTCGAGGCGTAACATTCGAGACAAACCGCGAGACGTAACATTCTCGCCTGACAAGGCTATACATATCTATATCTCGCGATACTATTGCCACCATACTCCACGATACTCTCTATTCTTTTCTCTATTTTTTTTTTTTCTGTTGTTTCATTATCATTCTCGCGTCTTTCACTTTTCTTTCTTAACGTTCGCCCTTCTTTTTTGTTTATGTTCTGGCAGCTGATGGTATCGGTAGCGGTGTCGGCAGCGGAGTGATCGGCGGCGTCGGCGACGACGAGAGGGAAGAACGAGCGACCCCAGAGCTCGAGGGCGGGACAGGCACCCTGTGCCGCGGAGGAGGCGGCAGCTACCGTCAATATCCGCCAGACCTGCTGGCCTTCTCAGGTGGCCGAGGCGCATCGCCGACGAGCCAGGCATCCACAGCGCCAGACAACACGCGTCTACCAAGTCAGCACGCGACACCCACAACGGCCGCTTTCGGCTCACCCTCGAACCAATATCCGGCCGCTTTCAAGACCTTGCCGCACAATCGTAGCGTCACACCCTATGGTATCGCGAGCTCCACGATCGCGCCTGTGATGCCTCGTCATGGCTACGTGACGATACCACGAAGACCAAGAGCACCCAGCTGGAGCAGTGGGCCACCTACGTCGCCTACCGATGGATTGGAACCCGTTTACGATAACCTGGGTCTCAGGACCACCGCGGATGGCAGTTCAGTGCTGTCGTTGAACAAGAGCCCCGAACCCCTGTCCACGATGAGGAGTCGACCCTTGCCTGGTACCCCAAGTTCGCATTACGGTACGATACAACGAAGCACGCCGAACATACTGACCAGCAGTCCGCTAGACAGAGCCGCACCCGAAGGCGCGGCTGAGTGGCCCACGAAATTAGCCGATGAATCGACCGACAGTAATCTTCTGCTGGGGCAACAGCAGCAGCCACAGCCTCAACAACAGCAGTCGGGTAGTAGCAACACGTTGGGCAGGAAAGTACCACCCAGACCACCGCCAAAGCCCAAGAAGAAGTCGACCAATGGCCCTCTGTATGAAGACGAGGGCGAAGACGGCACGGAGGTATGATCGATGTATGTCGGTCGACGAAGATGAGGCCGCGAGGTCGTAGCCGTGCTGAACAGAAGAGACGCATGACCGAAGCTACAATAAACCGGTAGTGCCTTTCAAGAGGAAGAGACGAAAACCCCCACCCCGGCACCGTGCAACGGGTTCGATGATTCGGTTGGAGCACGGCAATTCCGTTAGCGAATTTGCTAATGAATGAAAGTGCGGGGGCTTCCACATCCGGTGAAAACAGATCGTCGGATAAACCGCAGACTCGATCGGAGAAACAGCAGCGAATCTTTACGGACGAGACACTTTTGCCTGTCGTTCTTCCTTCGTTTATCGTGTTCTCTTTTTCTCCATCTGTCTCTTTCTCCCTCTCTCTCCCTCTCTCTTTCTCTCTCTTTCTCTCTCTCGCTCTCTCTGTTTATGTATTTTCTAATTTATTTGGTTCGCGGCGTACGACAGGGTTCTGGACCATGTGGAAGACATGTTTGTACCACGTGACTCGTGGAAGCGACGCATCAGTCTCTGCACATGACTCTGCGCATGTCTCTGCGCACTCGATAGTTATCGCGCATAAAAGGTTGATCAGGAGTGTCGACCATGTCTCTTCGGATCGTTTTACGGCTTCCAGGGTGGAACGTTGTTCGGGAATGGAATGATCTCAACGATCCGATGGACAAAACAAACGTTACAAACGTTCGTGCTTGTTTCTAGCCTGTTTGACTAATCTGAGGAAATTAGTAGATAGCTGGGCGCGTCTTGTGCCGTTCACAGAAGATCATAGGACATCATAGACAGTTCATGTAAAATACAGCGTAACGAGACATTAGCGTTAAGAATAAAGTCCACCTGTACGTGGACATTCGTCTTATTTATTGGCATGCTTTGTCGCATGCCTAACGAGGATCACGTTCCATTCACGGCGCGGACATCGTAAACACGATGTATCTGTTTTATACGATCCGATCACGTTTGATCGATACCTCTTAATTTTTATTCCTCCTATTACTTTTTTCTTTTTTATTTAAATTTTTTATACCCGCCTACGTGTACCAGGCGGTCGTTAGTTTTTACACGATATCTCGAGTTTGTCAGCGTCTTCTTTTTACCCTTCGAAGGAGTGCAAAGCGATGCTTCAGTTTACTGCCGCCGTTTTTAGGATTATATTTAAAATCGTATTTGTAATTTGTTTCTCTCTTCTTATCTTTTAATTGCATATTACGCATTGGTACTTGACCGCGTCGGGCGGGCATCTGTTGTAACGATATGTAAATTGGAATTAAGAGTAACACGGGTACCATGCGCGTGGTTCCGTACTATGTAAGAACAAACGTATTCAAATAACGGAGATGTTAGAGTAACTGTTTCTATTAATGTTAACCAGAGCGCGTACGTAAATCTTCCAATTATATTCGTTCTTAATCGTTAAATAACGCAGATGTTACAGTCTGAGTGTTACGAGGTCGTAAATCGGTATAACAGATCGGTTCTCCCAGGCCTTCCCAGCAGTCCACGAGGACGTTTCCATTCACCCGATCGTTGGAAGATAACGCGACCAAGCTTTACCCATTCGTCCCTCGAAACACAGTACTCGGAAATATTTTAATATTCGCGTAAGGCCATGCTACTTCGTTTGCACGAAGAGGGATCTCAGCGTACATGCGCGCGCTCTTCTGGTGAGTCGCCGATATATGTGTTGTAAACAGACTCAACGTACGGCTTGTACATACGACGTGTATTATACTACTTAAGGAATAGTTCGTCTGTCTTCTGATCCAACTATAACAGTCGCACGTGAAACAATGATTTCACGCGAAAGAAACACGTGGGGATAAACGTCTATCATCGAGTTCGGGGTGCGACGATGCGAAGACCTAACCTAAAAATTAACCAGAACGTTGTGGTATACGTAGAACCCTGAGAATCGTATATACAGTTCGCGAGTAATTAACGAATCGAATCGAAGATGTCATTAAGGGACTCCTATATAAATCTACACAGGACAAAGCGATCGATCGTGAACCTTCTCTTCCGGTTTCGTAGGACGCGTGACTCCTGGTTCTTCATCGATCCTCGATACCACGATTACGTCCATTGAATAAGTATTCACGAGTATTTGAATAAATCTCGCCATTCTTTGTTGATCTTCCATACGTTGAATCAGATCCGTTGACCGAAGGGCAAATATTTTTAGTCCACTGGATCCTCTATCGACCTCGCTGATACAGGGAACACGGATCATTCTTGGGCTAAACATTTATCGCCCGTAAGCCACACGAACTTGTTACACTCTCGGTACGCTTTATCCAGAGCTTAACGTTGCGTTCCCGACTTTGGCGAGGATTTAGGGATCGATCGTTCGCACAACTTGTTGCGAGAACGCGCTGCCGTTGAATCCTCATCCTGTAACGCCGGCTCAAACGGGGTGAGTCCTTTCGACGACTTCTAGTATTCCTAACAGACAACTGCTTCCCTTTCTCCGAATGAATATTCCGCGCACAATGAGACAAAGAGGAATAACTAGAAGACCATCCGTTCCAACGTTTTCGTTTTCTCCAGAAATATTCGATACTGCCTGGTTAACCAAGAAGCACATCGTAATACGTATAAGTTTTTGATTTTCGGCCTCGCAGGATTTAATCGAAGAAATTTGAACTTGTTTGTTTACTTGAAAATGTAATTACAGAAGACGAAATATGTTGGCAATGAAAAAGAAGTAACTGCGCTCTTTATTGGATTGCTATTCGGTTCACGAAACCAGGGTCGTATTAAGAATCGTCAGATCCAGTAAATACTTCATTTCTAAAACTTTCATGTGCTAAATATTCAGAGGGATCTATTCGCTTGATGAAAGTAACTCCATATTTCAAGAAATCCAATATTATACTCTGTTACACTTACTGGAGGAGTAAAACCATGAAGACTTTATTATACACCACCAGTCTTTCTCTACTACTTCAACTGTCTTCAGTTAACTGGAAGAAACAAGATTTCATTTTTCCAAATGAGCTTTTTACACCCATGTCCGAAAAAGAAGTATTATATTCCGCTTCGAAACAACTATTTACAATTAGTAACAATAATAATCTGTCAATTTGCGTAACAGAGATTTTTTACAAACACGTCGATTCGATGGTGAATTATCTTCCCCGATAATCGTAACGAACCATAAACAGTATTACGAAATGAATCCGAAGACGATGGCGCGAAGTCAGTGGGGCGGCACGGAGAAAATCGCGGCGCGATCGTGTAACTTCGTTTCCTCGATAATATTCTAACAAATGTACAGTCCAATAACGCAGTAATCCTGAAAAAGAGAATTAATAAAATAGGTGCCAATGTACAGTTATCTCTTGCCAATCGTTACAGAAGAAAAAGTTATATTTCTACAAAGATAATCTTCGACAACCTTCCTAAGAAGACACTTTGACGAAGATTAAATTTATGTCTTGCTCTACATCACTTCTTAGATAATTAATACTACGTGTAAAACATGTTAATAGAAAACATAACGCTGTATCAGATTATGGAATTATTTGGACAAACATTTACAATGAAAAAGGTTAGTTGGAAATTCGAGGTGTCTCCTCTATCGAGGAAATCTCTTACTATTTCTAATTTTGATATTCCAGTACCACGTGTCTCGAAGTATCTATCGATCAATGATTATTTAATTCTCGAATGACTGAAAATATCTAACAATTATTAAACATCGAATCTAATTTTACACTATCCTTCATAAAAATAAACGCTATTAAGCGATCTACAAATCCCTCCCTTCCCCAAGTCCCATTAGGATTCTCAAGAATCATACCTAACTATGCTACTCGCAGCTTCAAAGATACAATACATAAGATTAAATGTGAACGCTTAAGAATCTAACGAACAACGATCCCAGAGATACGTACAAAACATTTGCAAGGAAAAGAGAAATTGATCGACGCTCGTCCACACAAAATGGCCGCAATTTCGCGTGACAAGCGCCAGAAGCGAGGTTACACGAACGACGATCGTCGCGAAATTATTTTAAGCGGCCTAGCAGAGTCGCGGCTCGCTCGGTCCGATCGTTGTGCCGTGCCCTGTAAATACACACGGAACCTTAATTGCACGCTAATTCACGACGTTATTTATATGTACATGGGCACGTACGAAGCAAGCGCGGCACGAGCGATTGGTCAGGCGCCACGAGTATATTTTTGTAATTTTGTATTTTGATGGCTTCTCCGGCCATGCTTCGGCACCCACGAGCATCGCGCGGGGAAGATAAGATAACCTCATCCATGTCCCGAAAGGCTGGCCTGCCGCGACGCGTAGCGGCCAACGCGCGAAGCAGCGAAACATGACGGGCCGGACTCCCATGATTCGTCGCAATTAACCTCTTCGTTTAATGCCTTGTCGCGCACGTATACGTCCTCAACACCGAATTCTTCATTCTCGCTGGTGCTTACACGTGTCTCGGTGTATTCGTCGAGATCACGATTCGATTTAAATTTGACTGCAGGTAGGGAAGATGTTGTGGCAAGTATCGCGTTTTGTGTGACTTTTATAGGGAAAATTGATTTTAGCTGAGTTTTATGCAGCGCAAGATTTAGATATGGTGCAAATGAAAGACTAAATAGTCTCTTTACTTAGCTATTGGTATAAGAAACACAGTATATTTGTTGCCTTTTATTTGTATCCTTGTTTGACACCATTGCTTGAAAACTACCTTGGTTCTCCTGCTAGATTCATTCGCTGTTTTGTTCGTAACGACAAAAGTAACAATTAGTATCAAGGTGCCAATCGTGAATACCAATTTCCCTGCTGTAAAACTTAGTTTTTGACACTTGATATAAACCAGACGTAATTATGCTATACGAAACATCAATTTCTGAGAAGATTTTCACGTGTCAGCAACGCGCTAAACGTTTGGGATAAACGCGATGCAAAATTTATCGATCGAATAACGGGAAAAGTCCGCAAAAAAAGCAGCAGGGGAAGCATCTTGGCTCGTTGACGAGATTCGTTTTGCATTCAACGGATTCGCGTGAACGTCAGGCACCTCTGTTCCCCGCTACAGTTGCTTCCACATAATGAATAGCGGGACGAGCGTACACGCGAAAATAGAACGTGTATGAGCCCCGCAATTATAACGTCGGGAAGGAGGGTCAACCCCCGTGTGCTCTATGTACTATTAGCCGTAGCGTGTTTACCAGGGATGCACATCACGAGCCAACACCAGCCAGCTTGCAATTATTATTGCGAGGATACTTTGTACGTGCAGTTAGGCTGTTCGCCACTTTAATGAGACTCCCTCTCTTTGACCCTCGAACGTTGCAATAACATGATTCACGCGCTGGTCTGCTCTCACTTCCCACACCAATCGGCTCCGGGCGATCGCTGCGCCCTCTAGCTTCGTCGCCAACAGATAGATTTTTGCAACCGATAGACGCGTAGATGGTTCGATTCTTCATCAACGTCCATCTCCTAATGACTCTGCGTATCTACCTGTCAGGTATATATCCGCTTGAAGTCATTACGCCGGGACGGAAATTAAAGTCGAGAGGGAGATGGCGGGAAAGCGAAGCCGGGGGTGTCGGAAGTGGAAAAGACGTTGCCTAAAGTCCGTGTAATTGCGAATGTCGGTAAGCTCGCGTCGGACACGCTCTTGGTTGGTTTTTTAATGAGGCACACGCGAGATTTCTCACTTCGAGACCGGCAACGATCCGAGGGAGAAACAGCCGCGATCCGCGGTGAAAAGACGGCTCGCGACGTCGACGAGAATGTTAATAGAGCGACGCTGAAAGGGTGACATCCCGCTACTCGTTACCGATTTTCTGGTTCAGTCACGGAATTATCGAGCGCCGATGGGGAACACGTAACGAGCCCTGTTCCTCTCCCGCCATCTATCGGCGAAACCGCAACCAACGGTGGCTGGTGAACAGAGAGAGACACGTTTAATTACCAGATAAAGTTCGCCGCGCCGCGCCTGAGGTGGGAATATTCGGAACTCCATTCGGTCAACAGTTCGCGGTGTCGGTTCAGCTCGACGATCATGGGAGAAACGGGTAGACACGAACTCGACGTTTAACGTGGAATTATACTTCGCGTGTATGAATTATTTTCGTGACCTTCGTCGAAATGGGATATTTATGCGGTTTGAACGTGAATTTCTATGGGCACAATGGTAGGATCATTTTTTCGTACCGGATGACTTGAGTAGGGATAGATAGGATGAATGACAGAATTACTTGATACATTGATTGGATAATTTCTAATAATTTATAGGACAAATTTACGATCTGCGTTTTTATTTTATTACACCGATGATACTGAGAAATTTTGATGCATTGGAGAATGAAACAGGGAAACTAAAATTGTTTTATTATTTTAGATATTTAGTACACCATTTTGTTCTCCTCTTTTTTAGGGAAGACGTGTAGTTACATGAAAAATCGACCAATTGCATTCCGCGTTCTTATGCTGCCAGAAGAAACATTTATTAATACAAAATCGTTATGCATTTGCATTTTGTGTAGATGTACTTAAAAATCGTGTGGTTTTCACGTCCATTTGGTTTTTAAAACGTCACAGTAACACGCACGTTATTTTCGTCGGAGATAATTAGCCATGTAATAGATAGCGGTAACTTTTATGTAATATCTTGAATTCTATCACCGAGATATTGGCGCGAAGTTCTTGATCTGCAACAATAAGCGTGCAGATGAAAGTACCGTCCAATACACTAACCCGACCACGATCATTTGGAGGTTAGGTACGTAATTTTGTTTCGCAAACAAAAGCGGATGCTTCAAATTGTAATATCTCTAGACATTTCGCAATCATTTTTTATAATAATATTCATCTGCCACGTTTAATAAATATGGTTTCTTTGACCTTGAAAGAGAGTCATAAAATTGCAAGGAAACATTGGACTAAGTAAAATAATTTTTTTTCCGAAAATTAAAAGGATCAAGAAGAGTACTGTAGTCAAATTATGGCCATTTAAGCGAAAAATTTGAGACTACGCATGACTGAATAATCCTAATTATACTTCTAAAGCGAAATTTAAGTACCTCTGTTGCTTACTTCAGAGATAACGTATTCATTCGAGAAGCATCCGCTAAAGAAACGAATCATGTTGAATACATTCCAAAAGGGACGATATTATCTTCCTAATTACATTATTTCCATTTTTAAACGCATTTTTAAGCTCATTCTCACTGGTTCTTTCAAGTATGGTACCATAATGCAGAGAATTTTCAAAACCGCTAATTAATCCTCGGAAATGAGAGCTAAAATGCTGTTTCGACTCAATACATGATCAAATGTGTACCAAGTTTGAAAAGCTGAAAAAAATGTTAATTTCCCTTCAAAGTTGAAACCGCCAAAATTTCGAGATAAGTATAAATTTTGTAATCCAATTTCCGAGCATTAAACGTGTGCTGTAAACGATATCGCGGTTCGAATCGTATAGATTTAAGTATAACACATGCGTATCGTCTGTTCGAACGTCGTCGTTCCTTTGCATATCGCTATGGATCGCGTGATGTTTTGTATAACCATGGCATTTATTTACACATCGAACTGTCGTAAGCGTTCTTCGAAGACTGACACTTTTGAAATTGAGAAACTTACCTGATCTCGTTTAGCGTTGTGCGAGCTTCTCGATCCAAAGGAATTGCGTTCATAATAAACATGCAAAATGATCGAGCGAATAACTGATGAACTAGATGAACCACGCGAGAACGATTTCCTCGATCCAATTAAACTTCGAAGATATCGAATCACAAAAACAAACAACCGTTTCGCGGTACGATCGTGCTCCAAGAACAATTCGAACGTACGTGTAGAAGCAAATCCACGCCTTTATGGAGAGATCCCATCGCAAAGGCTTACATGATGCGATAAGACTTTGATGTAAACCGGTATTGTCTAGACGAAACTGTTGAAGTTTCCCTTACCTTGTCCCCTTCGTCGCATCAAAACATCGACTTGTGCCACTTTATGTATGAAAAAGTACATATTGGCGAATCCTTTGTTTCCTCTCTGAGAAAGACACGAAGGAGGTTAGGAAATGAGGTTAGGAAAGATAGGGAATCTTCCTATTTCTAGACAATGCTGGTACAAACCTAGAATTAATTGGTTACTCAAGGTTACTTTTCCGAGTTTTCGAATGTACTTGCGACGAAGAACGTAAGCTTTCAGATTGTAATTCGATGTCTTTGAACCTAAAAGAGCAAGATACAAGATGGCGTGACGTAGTACGTAAATGGCGCGCTAGGTGTCGCTGATTGAACAAATTATATTTCGAATAGTACTAAATGGAAAGAAAAGATTGCTTTCTCGATTGATCGCTCGAGTCGTGTCCTAATCATCGTTGAAATTGCCTAATTCCATCGCCACTTGTCTAAAGAATATACATATTACATAGAAGGACTTTTCACATGTATACTGTAACGTGTAACGATAGTACCGTGCAGAACGCGAAGCATGTTCCTGACGAAGAGTTGTTAGGGCGCCCGTTTTCTGTGGATCAGCCGCGTCCAGGTTTCTCGTACTTGAGTGTGTGCGCGGACTTTTATGGGGCCGAGTTATGAATAAATGACGTTTCATTAACATATTTTCGTATCTCGTACAGCTCTAAGTTGTACAGGATAAGAACGCTCTGAAGTGTTTTTATCGTAAATAGGGATTATTATAAATGTAAAGGAACTATGTTTGCGTGTCACGATATAGGTGTAAGAACCTCCCTAGGGAAAACGTAGCGATCAGATTTTTTCTTTTACTTTAGATCCTAGTTGACATAGGAATGTTAAGAATGGATAATCGAGGTAAAAATCTTTGTGAACGTTGATCATGCCTTCTTTTTTACTACTTTATACAGATTGTCCTTTTATTAATATTTGTGTTATGATTATTATTATTATTTGTATTATTATTAATGCTATTATTACTTTTATTTTTATTATTATTATTATTATTATTATTATTATTGATGATATACCGTCGTTAATATTTAATATTCCTATCGATCTATTGGATTCATACCGTTCCGTTGCATTGTCATTATTATTGTGATCATAATTATTTATAGGAAATTTTACCGGAAAAATTATACTACCTGCCTTTTAATGAAATTTAGTTTTATTTTGCGTAACATTCTGGCCAATTATAATTTATACGCCATTGTCAATGTACTATCACTGTAAATACTATACATATTTTATAAATGAAATATTTAGCGTGACTGTAATATTAAGAGAATGTACTGAAAGCACCACTCTGTACACTCCACGATGGTTAAATTTTAATAAATATTTCCCAACCCCATTACTGTGTTTCAATCGTTTCGCTTCGTCTTTCAATTAATAACACTGCTCATCGCGAATTTTAATCCGTACTGTCCATTGGCTAATTCTCATAGAGTATACTTTCCTGAAGACTAATCCAGTTTTCGAAAACTCTGGGTTTTCCTAAGAACGCAGAATTTGTTGCTAAAATGAATATTACATAAAAAGTAAGAACGTCAGGAGGTTCATTGTTATCTTACAAGTTAGGTGAAAATATCCCAAGATTATCAACGTCCGTAGTTATAATTATTTCTACTCCCAAATAACCATAATTAAAAATCAAAATGTAAAAATAAATCGTCGAGCTTGCTTTCTACGCATATTCTTGCGTTTGTACGAAAAATTCTTTATTCGATACGAATTTGCTATATAGTAACGTATTCTGTAGGTTTTTCAAGAATGCAAACTCCACAAGAATCACCTAATATCTGTTACAGATTGGAAAAAAAATTAAAATTCACTGGACAGTGCAATTAGTTGAGTAGAAAAGAAATGTTACTGTAATTTCTTAAATGTATTTTTATTGAGAAAATAGCTGCAATATCAGTGTCATCGTAATCTCTCTTATCATTACAAATACAATTGATTATTTTTTGGCTTCAACAGACTTTAATATTCTGTCCTCTTTGGTCATTTTCTTCAGTTTCAATAATGCGCTTTCGCCATATTTCGTCACCAATTCTTCGACAAATTCATCCTTCAATTTCTTCAAACATCTGAAATGTAATTACAACGAAAAGATGAATTACAGCATGAGCTGAATAATTTAATTAACAACAACAGACAATACAACAATATCATATACTATAATTAATGTATTTATCAAACACACTGTTCAAAGTTAACTCGGGACACGAGATTGAAGTAATCAAATTTCACTGAAAAATAAATTTCTTTTTTAATCAAATAATTTATATTAAAAATATATTATTATATTATATTAAAAATATAAATTATTAATCACAAAATTTATATCCGATAAAATCATCATCAGATGAAATACCTCTGCTTCTGAAATTACTTTATTCAATTATATAAGAACTCGATCTCGTAATTACTTCGAACATCGTACGTATATTAACTCATTACCTTCTGTAAATAGAGTCAGTTCTGAATTTGCCGATGTCAAGACTAGGAGCGTGAGGCCGATGGATAATGAACGTATCCGGCAAGACAATGTACCTATATAAATCTCGAATTTATGGCATCGCGCTATAGTGCTCGGTGTTGTAAAGGCATATAAAAAGGGTATTTATCAAACGCCTCTTACTTGTAGCCCAGAACCGTCAAATGCGTCAGGTAGGAGACCTTGTTCCATCCAAATCCGATGAACCTGACGTCGTATCGGGGCGCTAGCTTTGAAACCACGATGTACGGCTCGAAATCTGGTTCCCAAGAAACCTACGGCGACATTAACTTAATCCCTTATCCATGAACGATAAGATCAGAGTCTGTTCAGTGCATATACTTCGTAGGGTTCCATCGTGTTCCGCCAATAACTGTAATTCGTAGCGGCATGACCCTGGGTCCAGACGTGATAACGAAAGGTGTATAGGACGCCACGTTTCAAGAACTTCAGGAGTTCATCCTTGTTAGCGGGAAAGGTAAACCTACAATACAAATGTGTACTATGCTGTATCTTTCGCTGTGATTTTGAGGAAAAAATACCTGTAACGCTCAGTTTCGAATGCTGGCACGATCAAAGCTACTTTGTCCGTCTCGCTGATATTCAATCTGACGATATAATTTATCAGAGTTTCGTGTAATCCGTACTGCGGCAGAAAATCGACGTCCAGTTGGAAGATGTACGGCGCCGATATATACGACATCGCAATATTCCGTAAATAATTGATCGGATATAATTCCTACATAAAGAAAATTTAGCGCAATTAGATATCTATACTATTTTCTTCCCTTTTCTTTTTCTTATTTTGTTTCGATATCACGATTCAAAGTCTCTGCATCCACTTAAATAAATTTCATTTCGAACGTCTTTCCATTTTGGGAAAGAATCTGCCAACCATACTGGCGCCAGATTCTGCGTCACTTCGACTCTTGACGCCAGATTTTGCACCACTTGTTAGCACGCATAAAAACTGTCTATATATAGACACTTGCACGACTCCGGAAGACGAAAGAAAAATAACTTAGCGTGCATCTGTTAGTACTCAAGGAAAATCAAAAATAAATTGATAAATTCGTTTACGTATTACCTCGCCAATTTAATGTAAATCGTTCCGAATATTTTTGGAAAATAGATAAATGAAATGAAAAATATGTTACACTTTCCCTGGGGTATTATTCCGATCATCGGCAAAATATGAGAAATCTGATAACGTTGCTCAACGTCTTGTAATTAGGGGATCAACTTTACTACCGAAATAGGTGTACAAGATGTAAAGTACTGGAGGTAAACGTACCCCATCCTTATACACGACATGGTACGCTATGTTCTTCCTGTTTCGTAACTCCGTGGAGCCGCGCACGAACTCCAGGAAATTTTGCACCTCAGCGTCACTGAGGTATAGCGCGACGCTTAGAGTACCGGGCCAATGTTTCGATAGATCTTCCAGTAACGGTATCCTTTCCACGCTACACTGAGTTACCAGTGCAACATCCGACGGGGCATAGACATTGTACTCATACTCAAGAAGAAAAGGATGAGTGCGATACAACATGGCCGCGCCTCTCGTGAACTCTCGACACGGACTCGATTCGTTGTACTAAAAATTCAAAACCTGAATCTCAATACTGGTAGTCGAACGGTAGTTAGTCGAATATCGAATCTCAACGCTTGATCATTAAGATAAGCTTGACCAAGTAACCGGTATACCTCTTACTGACCATAATTTGGAGATCAGCTAATTTGTTAATTACTTAATGGTATCTGCAGGTAAGCATAATCACTGAAGTAAAACACTGAAGTAAAAATCCTTATAAGGAAACAATGACCGTGAACATGAACATAAAACCGGGTATCTTTTTTACTAAAGAAACGATAAATTCGAAAGAGTAAGATAATCTCCAAATTGCGATCTGACGACAGTATGCAAATAATTACGGGCAAAACGAAGTCTTACTTGCGACACAATCTCCTCTTTATCACAACCGAATAAACGTCTACGTAACAAGCTCCCATCCATCTCTAGGAAGACTTTATGCAACTTACGAAATTCGTTGATATGCTTATTATATACATCTTGCTTACGAGGAGAATTCCAGTGAATGATCTAAAAGTACCAGCTTGATAAGTATCGCGAACTTGCTCGAGGATTATAGAAAGATACACTAGTCCCTTGGTAATATTCTCGGAGTCGTTCTCAATTTCTCAAACTGTCTTAGCTGAGCAACTTATCGCATTAACTACAACTCCGGTATAACTAATATGACAGATTTTACACGCTTTTCTCTATCCCATTTACATTTGTTGGTTCCCATTTTCGCCTATGATGCACAAGATCGGAGATAATAGTCGTCAATACTCGGAATAGAGACTTCATCCGTATTCATATCACGGATTAAGAGCATGCGAATATTAGCAAGAAACTAGTGTAATTTTCGGTAACATAATCGAACATACGCTTATTTGACTAGTATCGCGATAACAGAGGTCACTGATCGTGTGGTCGCTTAACTGAATGTTCCACGTGCACTTTATTTCATGCACGATGGAAGGATGCTCCTTGATAACGGCATTTATTATATCCTGATCGGCTAAACTAGTTTCCGGTATATGGACCAGCACACGCTTCGTAACAGCTTCCCACAGGCTCATAAATTTTCTCTTACGGAGTTGTTGCAAGTGCATTAGCATGACGCCGGTGTTAAAGCCACGTCCCAGGGCCGGCCACGGCCGTTGACCGTAAGACAATGCCTTTATGTACCAATGACTCTGATTTTCCGTTAGCCCTAAGGCCTGATCGTTCGTGAACTCCTCGAACATCTGCCAAAGCAGACTGATGTCGTTCAGCACGGTCACATCCGTGTCGAATACGAGCACTTTATCTTCCCGCATCGCATCCGGCAGAATTAATTTCAGAAGACCGTAGACCCCGGAGTAATGCTTATTCGGTATCCAGGACACTCTTGGCACCCATATCTCTGCTTTGTAATACGTCATGTTCACTGTAACGAACGAGCAAACATACAGAAATCGTTGACATCTTTCGACGAGGGAGAAATCTGTTTAAAAAATGGCACGCTTATCATCCGTTGCTTAAACGAATTCTAAATTAACGCGGCGTCCATGTTTATTTCACTCGTCGGCCGTTGCGTTAGCCGTTGTAATCGGGTTAACGAGCGTTCGACATTTTTACCCGACTTTTTTATTGCTAATGGGCTTACGTGTGTAACGTTCATTTGGAGAAGAAAAGGAGGTTTAATTCGCTGTTTTGAATTAAGAACGATGAAAAAAACGGATAGGGTTTCATTTTATAACGGCATGCAGGGTTTAATGAATACATGACCTAAATTAATTGCTCGATGAATGTATTACGTTCAGACGATTTGTTGAAAAAATGGAATGTAATGAAAAATGGAATGGACGAGAGAAAAGTTACAGCTAGAAAATCGATAAGTGCTGATATTAAAAGCACTTCGATATCGTAAGTCTACAGTGGGTAAAAGAATATTGGCATAGTATATTACCAGAAAATTCACCTAACTTTTAATTATTTTAATTTTGGTTCAAGCTCTATGAGTATGTGTATCATCACAAATTATACGTGTAACAATATTTTTTCTTACGTAATGTCATTGATAATAAAACAAATTTACTATGACATAACAAAATACGTGTCCTTTCCAAAATCTATAAAGTAAATATACAGTCGTTTAAAATGATCTAGGTATCTCTGAAACGATCTATCGATATTTCTCCGGTTTTGCAAAATCATATAATTTAATAGAATATATTTTATTTTGCATTTACATTACATTTTATTATATCGATTAAAATGTAACATCTTAGACAGATTATAGCAATAAATTCGGTCGTTTTTAATTTAAGAAACGGATGAGAATGTTAACCGTGGTTCATTTTTACTAACCATGTGGTAAATTCCATGTTTGGAAGACAGTCGTCAAAGTCCTCTTTGCAATTTCATCGACGAGCAAGTGAAAGTGCAGAGGTTTGGTGCGATAAAACAAAACGGATTTCACTACTGTCACTAGAGCGAACGTCGAGTTGTATCCGGCGCACACCATCGCAATATGTATGGTTTCGCATTTTACCTTAAAAGAAATTGCTGATCTTCAACGTTTCGATATCTAAATTTTCCTCTGCCAAAAACGATTTTCGTTCTTATATGAAAATTCTATAAAGTGATTCTTAATTGCTCACTGACATCTTAAAATTCATGCACTCACGATACAGCATACGTACAATGAAATGTAACAATACTTATAAATCAAAATTTACACGTTTATGTAATTTTATTTGAAGTGAGAAAATTCTAATTACGTATACTAATTTAATTAACATATTAACGTACTTAGCCGTTGCTAATTAATCGTAATTAAAAAGGAGGCTGAACAATTTATTCGTGTATAATGTAATCTTATTATTTTATATTATAAATTTATTTTCGAGCGATGAAAAGAACAGAATCAACTTCAAACACAAAGATATCTTTCACTTTTGCAAATTGAGGAATAAAAAGAATCAATTCTATTTGTAATTTAAATTTTGAATTTATATATTTGCTACACAACTAAATACATAATCGATCACGTTATTTACAATATCGAATAATATTTTCTTGCTGGTTATGGCGTATGAAAATATAATTGTACGAAAATGTGCAGAATTAAGAATCACTTGGTATAATATACTCGTAAGAGGTATATTATATTTAAAAGTATCGAGGAATTTTTATTATTCTCATTTTTCCATTCAAGTTGAGCTAAAAAACCGCTATTAAATTTTTACCTCGTTATGATTATTTTCTAAGTACAGCTTTTCAAGAGTAGCATGTTCGACGTGTGAATTCGTTTTTTCTATATCCACGGAGGAGCCCAATTTACTGTTAATTTTGAAGGAACTGATTTCAGCGGAAGGAACTATAATGATATACGACATATTAATGTTGAGAAATAATCGAATCCGATCACGATCATTACCATTTAATAATAAATACAGGTAAAAAACTGCCGATGGTATTAAAATTCCGAATAAACATCCTAGCCATGATCGAGCCATTGTAATATGACAGACATATTTCCCGATTCGCAGAATGTTTAACGAATCGGATTTATTGGGCAAATGTCAAAATCTATAAATAAAAATTTTTAATTAATGCAGCGCTTGAACTACTTAGCTACGTATCCGAATTTTTACAAAACGAAACAATCAATAATCAAAAATTAAAATTCGTATCCTTTATTATATTACACAAAACGTAATGCTATTTTTGGAACTACTCTATATTCATTTTATACTCCGTGTATGAAAGCTGCATAAATATAAATTTGTGTATAGTGATTTTTTGGAATTTCTTCTATTATAGTAACGTTAACGTTGCCGTAATTATGTAGATCGTGAATTGTATATTTAAACGTGTTTTGATACATGTAAATATTTTGACAAGTGAATTTACTTGACATGCGCGAACGTGACACGGATCAAAAACAAAAGAGATAGGTTAATACGATTTGTTACAATACAATCGACTCATTGGAAATAACACCGCCGAATAATATCGCTGGATGTATAACTGAATTACGATATGATAACTGAATGTCTACGAATACGTACCTCTGTTGCTGCAGCTATTTTTCTTGACTGTCATGCACTTAAATTCATCGCTTGAGCTACTTTGAGATACGGCTTCGAACGTGATCAATTCTGTATATGAATTTGCACACACGTAACTCCTCAAGCACCGACACTCGTTTGTATTTCAATGAATCACTGTTATGTTTCGGAATGTTTGCTGTAAATCGAGCAAATTCGCGTAATTACAGTTACCTAGGGACAGCGACGGAACAGCACGCATCCTAAACACTCGAAGCAGGAAGTCTAACATAAATAGTTTAATCACTGGATAACGCAGTAGTAGAATTACTACTCTCTCCGAGCAACACGACATGGGATGTCGAACAGTCGGTAACTCGTTACGTAGTTACCCACTTTTGATACGAGGGGGCAATGTTCACTCTGGCAACTGAAGTTAGCCGCATATGTCATTACGATATTTAGATTTTTAAAACTAGATTTTACAGTGCTGTGAAACTTCGCTACGTGTGCAACGAATATTTGTGGTTGAAGTATACGAACAAATTTTTATATCATATATACAATGTAATATTATATGATAATTATGTGATATCATTATGTGATAATAAGGTTGTACGAAATTAACAGACAAAGCAATAAGACAAACTGCTATATCTGTATAAATCGTGAGCAAATTATTATATATATATATATATATGTGTATGTAAAATTGAAATACTGATCTTTAGTGAAAATAAAACTATATTTTATAGTTTATTCGTACATTTTGTTGATTGTATAAAAACATACCTCTGTATCAAATATTGTATATTATATTAATTATATATTAATATAAAGTAATACTATAATAAATATACTTTCTGTGTTATTATAAAATTTGTCATAAAACATGGTTAAATCAATAGAGTCATCGCTATTAACAAATAAAGACTTTATCTTATGAGCTAATTATTAATTTAAAAACATTAACCGTAAAAGTAGTCATGCAAGGAAAGTTTCCAGCTACATGCTAGAAATATTTCCCTAAAATAAATATGATTCTGTCCTAAAGTGAGTAAATGATAGGAGTACAATGTGCAATGATATGAATCAAGTTATAAAAAAGTGTTCTATAAAGTTCGTCCATTAATTTATTTCTGTTGCTTTAATGGTATAAGGAGGTTCTTCCTCTTCTTTAAGTTGTCCTAATCTTTGAAGTTCAGCATTTCTTGTCCTGTAGGAAAATTTCAAGAATTGATATTTAATTATATTTTCATGTATAATTTATAATAATAATTGCAGTACCTGTACAATTCTTTCTCCTGTTCTCTTTCTTTTGCTTGTTTCTTTAGAAGTCTGAATGCCATAAAAACAATTAGAAGTAAAATTGGAATTAGGCAAGCAAGTACTATACCAGTTGTGATACCTGCTTGACGAGAACTATATTCCTGTTGACCTGTGATTTTCAATACAATTTACAGCGTTAATATAAATAAGATATAGAAATTACTTTAATGTTTATACAATGGAAAAATCAGTAATCAATGCAATCATAAGAAACATAGGAATAAATTCATGTATGAAAGGAAGAAGGTAAAAGAACAGAAATAAAAAAGAAATGATGACAATATCTCTGGTGGAAATTTCCATTCCACTACTAAAGACTTATCGATTATTTAAATCTTTTATAAAATATATAGTAAATGCATGTGGAATAGAAATTTCCTGAACATTTAAAGGTACAGAAAAGTTTATTAAACTGTATTTTTACATTAATTGGCAAGTAATTTATACATAATTTGCTACAATAAACTTGATTACTCAAATTTTAAAATATTGTAATGTATTCAAACATTTATATTATGCATTACATCTTATAAAAGTATAAAGTTCATTTACAATGTAATAATGTAATGTATTGCTCTATAAATGAAAAGCATTTCTATTCCACAGCAAAAACAGCATATGCAAACGTTAAATCACCTTATTAATACTCGACATGGATTTAACATCCTTTCTCAACGAAAATTTATCTTTTGTAGAAATGATACTTGATTGAATGAGATTTAATTCGGAATTATTTTGAAAATACGAAAGTGCGAATAATTATAAATGAAAAAGTATAAATCCATAAATATTTGTTATGTAAGAGATACTTGTAAGACGTTTAATACAAATGATGATCTCTTGAAATGTTTAATATGTCACATGAAACTTATATAAGAATGTACACGCGAATTCTTTTCACACTATCAGTGGTTAACGACACTTCCTTCAATTAATTTTACACGTCGCTCTCTTTACTAGGACTACCAGCTTTTCTCATAGACTCTATTGTACTTTTATCCGAATCTGTTGGAGAATTGGGTTCTTTCAGATCCCAGTCTTTGTCCTCAAAATCGACATCTGGTCTGTTTGGCAAAGGCTCATTAGTACGATAAACTTTGTCATAAGAGAGAGGCTTTTTAAACGTGCTCGGGTTAGTGCTAATGTCGCTAACCGGTGAGATTGGTCTATCGTATGTTTTCAACGGCGTGGCCTGTTTCAACAATGTGGAATCATTGTCAATGGCAGACCCACGTTCAGAATAACGCCACGATTTTACGGAACTTCCCTGTGATTGATTCTTTCGTATATAAAGGAAGGCGCCAGCGACACATACCACTACAGGAATTAAAACGGCGCAAATAATACCCATTGTTGTCCATGCTGTACGCTGAGTATACTCGACCTGACCTATATTTATATAATATCAAAAGAATTTTTATTCCTCTTTTTCATAGGCACGGTAACCATTTTTATGGTGAATTATCATTCTCAATGCGTGAAGTGGAGTGATAAAAGTTGAAAGATAAACAAGCGCAGAAGGAAAAAGATAAAAATGAGAAAGCGACTGACGATTACGTGTTCTATACTACATTAACTCGCTGTATCGAATATTCATATTATATACATACATTGTTCGAAATAGCCACAGGACGTTATTTTACGAAAATTTCCATGTTTCTAGTATTTCCGAAAAATGAAAACTCAATACCTTCCTCTAATTATTTCGGACAATGTTTATTTCATTAAAAGAGAAATCTTTTATCGTACAGTAAGGCAAGTACTTACGTAAACACTCGGTATACCCGTATTCTGGCACGTTCCAACGACCCTCTGGCGTACAGACACGTCGTTGATCGCCAATCAAAATGAAGTCCTGATTACACTCGAAAGTTACCTTTGTACCTGGCACGAAAAAGAAATTACTTTTCCGTCCGAAACGCGGTGTTTCCAATACACCGCACGATACGACTGAAACATAAAGAAATAAAACGTTAAACACTCGATTACACTCGAAATAGTCACTCGGATATAATTTAGAAATTTTGGTAAGTCACCTCGCTCGTTCATATTGATCTCCCTTATTTTTGTATACGTGTCGTAATAATTTTTCGTAAAATGAGCCAGATCACGATTGAGCGACATTGCATAGTCGTATTGACATTGATACGTTTCTCCACAAAGATCTGCAGCTCGCTGTACATCATACGACCTGTATCAAGGCAACATAAGTAGTGCTGTTCTTTTTATAAATGATTAATTAAACGATTAATGACGTAAAATACTAATCACCTATTAGTAGGCAATATATCTACAGGTGCCTTTCGCCACTCAGGCTCAAAGGTTTTGTTGGAATAGAAACTCGCAGTTCTGCCAAACTCTCTGGTGAACAAAGCACCACCCTTTTCATCGTCTTCTTTATCTTCCAACATCCAGTAAATTGCAAAGTTTTTATGTACATCCTCGAAGTGGTTCAAGTTAGTCCCTGATATTTGCTGGCCGTCCGGATTTATCATATCATCCACGATGTCGAAGTTCCATTTCCCAAACAATCCTCTGGTTTTATTCTGAAACGAAATAGGTCAATTTACGAATTCGACATTATTGAGGTATGAGTTCGTGTTCGTTTTCGAAGTCTCACCAAATATGTCCAGGGTAGATAGACCCTGGCTGACATAAATCCTTCGTTTTCCACTACTTCTACACCAGCACCAGTGTCGAACATAATGATCACTTCGCTCTGATTCAATATGTACGTGGGTGTGTAAACGACCACACCAGTGAAGTGTTGAGACCTCAGGGATGGCCTATCAAAGTAAACTCGACGATTATTTGCGAAGACGTCAAGGCGATACCTCCATTGCGAATGTTTGGGCCTTATGCGAACTTCTATGGTTGCGGAATTATTTCCCCTTGCTGTGTAAGAAGAAATAAAGACAAATCGATGTTACATCAACTCCAATACGAATCGCAAAATTTCTGTTTCTTCGTTTACTACGTCATATATCTGTTTACCTGCTATAGATGTCAGCTGCGTAGCTTTAACTTCACCGTATATATTATTTGGTAATTGCTCGAATCTGCCCTGTATGTCAAGCTTATCTTTCAAATTATTTACACGAACCAACACGAACTCTCCCTTCCCATTAAACGTATACTCCAAACCATCGAATGTTACGATATGAGGATCACCAAACACTGTTCCAACAGCTGGGGATTGATAAGCGATGCAATCTTGGCTTGGTCGTCTTTCAAATCTGAAGGTTTCACAACCGACTGCGTGTTCCTCTTGCCACATGCAACACATGTAGAATGGTATTACATCGTGATACCAATGGGAAAGGGTTGGAACTTTGTTGGCCTCGTCCCATGGGTAGTAGCCCAAATTATGGGACCTATGTGGCCTAGAACCCCATTGCTGATCGTACGACAACATCAAATAGCCGTTTTTATCGTAACAACATTGTTGCTCTGAACCATCCATACTAAAATTAAAAAGTGAACCACATGAAGAACAAGCTTAGAACATCTCGGACCGTGCATGATAAAAGTACACCTATACAAAGTTGCAATTCGTAGTGGAAAATATTTAATATAGATTTAATATAGAACCACGCTTTTGATGATATATAATGTTATAGTGTTTAGCTAATATTCGAATTTCTTTGCAAAAAATATCACTTACTTTGGTGCTCCTGTTCTCACACAATGATGCGCGTGCTGGTTGTACATGCAGTCTAAATTCCCGTCCTTATCGCAGTCATAGTCCGGAAGGAAACGGCCCTTGTCGCTCAATGCATGTTTCAAGGTGCAAGGACAAAGGGATATCTCCGCCGCGAAATTCTTTAGATATCTGTCGTTCATAATCCACTTGTCGCAAAGTCGTTGAGGCCATTTCGACCCGTACGATCTTTCCCACTGAGGGCCAAAGTACCAGCCTAATGGAATCGGTCTACTCCATAGAAGTCTATAAAAATTTTTCTCATTAGCGTTCAAACAATTTCCAGAAGCTATATCTTTCACTCGTGATCTACATACGGTGTGATGGTGAGGCCAGTTTGCTGAGCTGGGTCTGTTAAATTAAGCTGAATAAATCCAAAAGTCATGTCTTGTTGGTAGGGATTGTTCTCGTTGCGGTACGCAGCTGGTCTAATAATGTAGTAACCCGTATTTGTGTATGATTTCTACAATGTTTTCAGAATTATGCATTTTTTAAAGTTATTCGACCGCGTGTACTGTGCAAAGCTGGAAAGAAGTCGACATAAAAGCAAAAGGGGGGCTACTCGTTCCACGTGATCTTTGATACTCCTTAAATTCCTAGTTGATGGCAAATACAGACGTAGCAGTAGGATAAAATAGATCGGTGTTCTTTTTATCTTACGGCACCATATAGCACTGATCCTATGTCTACAGTGCTACTTTATATCGCTCTTTATAGCTCTATCTCACTGCGAGGCTCGATGTGTCTCGTTTATGGTCTTTGTCGAATACTACGCATCTCGACATAATATTATTTACAGATACGACATGTAATATTACAATATGACCAATCAGATCACATTTTTTCCAGAGGACTTCTTTCTAGCTCTATACAATACGTCTCGTGTGCAAATTATGTTCGAACCTACCTCCAAAATAGTGATATATTCAAATTCAGGGGTAGTTTTCGTTTCACGGTACCCCCATAAAGATATTTGTACACCCGCGTTTTGGTTGCTGGTTAAATTATACGCGTCCCAAGTGATATTGATCTGGGCAGGGTAGATTTGGTGAACGGTATTCTCCACGAAGATCTTCTCGGCAGCTGTAGCTGGGGTCTCTAACAGGAATCAATGTAATTAATATTCATCTATATCTCAAGATCAAATTTTTATTTCATTCCGTATCGAAATCACAAAGTTATATTGATTGCACTGTATCAAAAATTTATGGGAAGATTAAGAAATATCACTTCTTTACATCCTTATAGAAAAGATGATTCTTTGTTATTCTATTGGATACTTAGATGTCCAAATGAAACTTACAAGGTGAAGAATATGTTAAAGTATCAATTCTTTTTTTTTATATTACAATTATAGTAACAGATTAACCAACATGTTATTAGCTTACCAATGAAATATTTCCCTTTCCAATCATAGGTTTTGCTGTCACCAATGCTAATCGCAAACCGGATGTACCCTTGCGACTTCACGAATGGCTGGACGCAAATAGCACGGTTCCTATCGATTATAGTACCCAGCACCCATTCGTTCTCGAACATACAGCGAATTTTCTCAGTCTCCTTGAAACATGGACCGGTAATATTCACGAGGGTACCACCTAACATGTTTCCGCTTTCAGGCGCGAATACGAGAGGCAAGTTTGCTCCAGCTGCAAGATGTATTCTCTTATAAGTTATCATTACCGATCTCTTGCTCTATGGAAAACTATATCTAGTCTTTAATCTCACCGATATCCTTGTTGCAAACCGCAGGCATTATCTTCTCGTCTATTCTGAACATATGACGTCCTGGAAAATCATTCGCCCATCCTCTTCCAGTTAAGTCACGAAGCGTCGACATTTGAGAGTATGGCTTGTATTCGTAACTTTGCGTTCCGTTTCCGGCATTAAATCCAATCTAAACGCGAGTTAAAATCGTAAGTTGTGATTAGTTATTATTTTATAAAACGATGTTCGATTGACGAGTAACAAATTTCTGTTTTAGCAACCTTCCAAGATTAACAGGTCGGTTCCCAAAGATGACTACAATTTCGTCTATCGAGTAATCAAAGTCATGCTGCTATAATTTCGTACAGTCAACTCTACCGTAACACAGTTAACACGTTAACCGTTTGAGTCCCAAGCAGGGACTCGGGGACAAGAAGAACACGGTCGATAAACCCTGAACAGCGCGATTACGCTTGCCTTAATCGAGTGCGAAGAAGTCCAAACGGTGCGATAGCGCTTGTTTAATTTTATGTCGAAAAATCCCAATCGTCGCAATAGCGCTTGTTGGTAATACGTGACGTACATGCATCAGCAAAGTTGAGCGCGATTGCGCTGCTTGGGACGCAAACGGTTAAACGCCGCGCTGGTCCCTAGGGGCCGGCCCTAGATTTTCAGTTCAGGCCTCACCGATCCGTAGGGCCAGGGAGGGTCCGCATGACGGCTAACTGCGACGTGAACGGAATGGCACGTAAAATCGGCGTGGCGTTTAACGCGTTAACGCGCTCAGGGTACCATATCGATGGAGGGTTGAGTAATACATGCAAATTGGCAGGTGCAAAGTAGAAAATTCGTATGAAACGACTTACAAATGCTGGAACTCCACCTTCTCCGCCCGTAGTGTCACCACCAGCTTCGGTATGACTGGTCCACTGTAGGTCCAGGTAATTAAATATCACGTAAGTGTTTACTTCGTCAGTGGCCAGAACCATTTGAAACGTGTTCGTCTTGTAAAGGGAATTATCGATGCCACCGGCGAAGGACATATTTTTCCATGTCACTATAACCGCGTGTTTTGGCTCAAAGGATTCGGTGCCGATGATACCCTCGCGAATGTCCCATTTGAGACGCTCGCGCATTTCCACGCCGAATTGATCCTTCCTCGTTGGCAAATCTCGTTCGAGCCTGAAATACGTTTCACGATATACCTGAACCTCGTCCAAGGTATTTTATTTAAATTTATATTTTCATTTTACAGTTCTCCACCGACCTAAAGTATACGCCAGGCTTTCTCTGGTCTATGTCAGTTGGTCGGACTTCTCCTATACGACATTTACTGAAGAATATTCCTATGAAACTGGGGTCGTTCTTCTTTGGCCAATCCTTGATTGGAAACACGAGGGGGTACGTATAATGCAATGGAGGATCGCTAAACTCGAGGAAACCGTTCATCGATACCTAAAACATGTGATGAATTGTTCTTAAAAAGACAGTTGAATATCTCTTAATAACGTTAGATTAGATTAGTTAATAGTCAGCAGTGGTTTGATAAGGGGATAAGAAGTAACAGCGTACCCTGGTGTAATTGAATCTGAACCCATAGAAGGGTAATTGAAAATTGAAATTCTTGTGTGTTTGCTGTGTGGATGCTTGGATCTGCTTCTGATAGTCGCCTTCGTTGTCGTCCCCACCCAGGTCGAAGAACCAGTACATGAACTTCGAACGGATTTCCTTCAATCTATTCTGCGTCAATACATAGTTTGGGACTGAATCATCGGAACGGGGCGCGTACCTATCTGCTTCCGGTGAATCAGAATCTGCAAGGATATGTAAATCCCAATATTCTGACATCGATTCACTCCTACGTATGAGATAATTCGATGGATCGATGTTCGAATCATTCTATTAATAATTTCGTTCGTGGACGCAAGTGCTACTACTACTTTTGGATGGATTTTCTATTAATACCGCTATTACATTACTGCAAATAAAATTAGCCAACGAAATGTGTTTACACGAACGATAACGCGATCGTTTAAGGTGAGCTTAATACACAAGTGAAAACAAACGAAATAATTTTAGTTCGGATATCAGGTATAGAAGAAAGGTTGAGAAGCTCGTTACGAAACTCGTAGCGATACAAATCCAATGATTCATCTTCGATTCATGTTAGAGTGAGTAACTGATAAGATAGATAAGATCTGATTCGTTAGTTGAACTATATAGTGAAATAATAATATAGTACATCCATCATTCGAGCATATCTTCAGGGAAGAAAAAATATACACCATACACATGCGTAAAATTGTTTCAGTCAAGAAAAGAATAAAGGAAGAAAATAAAATACCTGCTGAAACACGAAAGAAACATTCCTTTCCGTCTCATTTGTTCGCATTCTAAGTAAACTAGGTAGAAAAAAATAATGGTCACGCCCATCGATATCGAAATACTCACCGTATCTCACATACTGTGCAATTTTCCCGGCCATTTTACCAGAAGGACTTCGAGAAATCGTGACTTCGTCTTTGGTTTCATTTTCTTGCTTAGGGTCGTCATCCGCGCTAGCTGGCACTTCTCCTTCTTCTTCCTTCTTCTCTCTTTCCTCCTTGTCATCTTGATGACTTTCTTCTTGGATCAGGTCCTCTACTTCGGATAAACTCCCCGGTGTTCCTTTCCGCGTCGTATGCTCGCTATTGTTACCTTCTACAAAAGTCGATTCTCTGCTTTCCACGGATCGGGTAATGTCCAGTCCAAATGCCTTCTCAAACGTCTCATTTTCGATTTGTCCCGATATCCGATCGGTAAGTGATAGAAGAATACACCAAAAAACTATTAACTTTGGGGAAGAAAAAATGCGGCCGAGGCAGTGCTCGTTTCGCATCTTTAATAGGGGTAAATGAACCGATTTGTCTAATTTGCTGAAAGAGACTGAGCTTGGCTTCAGCTAACGAATAGTGATAACGGTACTGATATCAGTTATATTGTGATAACGCACGTTTATCTTCTTACACTACAGGTGCACAAGGTAACGTTGGAACTTAAACGAATAAAACGAGCAAAGGGCTAGTGCCCTACTTTCATGAGCTCACGAAATGCCCTTTAAACGAGATAAAATTGGAAATTCTTTGATTGCTCGTTGAATAACTCGGGATGTTCCCTCTCGTATTTTTTTTTTTTTTATTTTTTATTGTGTAGTCGATATTAAAAATCACAAATTTTTTAAGTAAGATGTTTATTGTATTTCTGGAACGTCGTGTTATTTACAAAAGAAATGTGGTTTACGATGTTCACTTTTAAAGTGTGGCAAAAGATCGTTTTATCTTTAGTCTCGTAACTAATAAGTCTCGCAATAAAAAATACGTAGTATGTATAGGAAGTATTACCTGAAAAAAAAAAATGTAAAAAGAAAAGAAAAGAAATTTTTGCGAATTGCACTCTTGAAAAAATAAGAGAATTTTTTAAAAGAATTATAGAATTCCTTTTTTTTCGATACTACGCGTTAATACTTAATTGATCTGACATTGCACAAAGCTTAATTTTGATGAATATTTATTAAAACACTAAATATAAGAAATTATCCGGCTTAAAATGTACTGATCTATAAATGCATTGTATGATGAATGTACATATGAACACTGATAGATGTACTTAACAATGCAATCTTGCATTTACTTTTCCTTGATTTTTTTTTTTTTTTTTTTTTTATTATGCTTAGCCAACCTTCCATATCCCAATAGAGATTTTGCAAAACTCTTAAAAGTAGATTTGTTTCCTTTTTCTTTCTTTTGTACTGCAATTGTATCTTGTATACCAATATTGTCACAAACGCTTGTAAAGAAACTATATTACATATTTTATGTTGCACAATATTGTAAATATTCTCGATTAATAGCACGTATCACAGAAGAAACCTACGAAAGACTCAAATTCGAGGATACAAAAAATGCACAAATATGAAAAAATGTTCCTATAGTTTCATTTTCAATTAGTGATATTTTATAATCTACAGCAGTGATTTGAATGTAATATTGTGGATATGAACTATACGCTTGATCATTAAGTGAAACATTATTTATAACATTTTATTTGTAATGAAATAATCTGTTCCGACTGAGATGTGATAGTTTTTAACATTACGAAGACGAAGAATTATCTCCATTACTGTCTAGGTATCCTCCTGAACCGTTTACAACAAATGATGTTCCCAAACCATACAAATGACCACAATATTTCGCATCGTCAATGTTATCTTCGAAAAACATCTGAAACAAAATTTCATTAACATTATATTTATAATATAACCTGTTAGGGTGCATAATTTCATTCGAAATAATTGCTCACCTCTCGCATTTTAAAGAAAACCATTCCTGTAAGTAACGAGTCAGATCCAGCTTGATGTTGTGGTCCAACTCTTTGAATTTCCAATTGTTCTGCTACCTCTTGTAGGCCTCCTTTTAAATTTTTGCAAGATTTCATTAAATACTGTAAACAAGATATCAGTTGTTAAAATCAGAAATACAATCTGTTTGGTAATAGACGTATATGCAACAAATTTATTCATAAAAAACATACTTTTACATCATATATTGTTGGAAAATATATCCTAAGAAGTTCAAAAAATTCACTTTCTTCCTGTGGTAAATTTTGGTCTGTAAGAAGTTTCAATAGATAGCCGAAGTCATAACCAGAATGAAAGGACAGCCACTTTATGTCGTCAACAAGAACAATTCCCGATGTCATTAATAGTTCAGCAAAATCTAATGGATCAATGCCCTCCTCTTCGTGTTTTTTGAATTGTATACCACTGTTCTGCAGCATATCTATACTATCTTGTGCATACATATCTTCTCTGAAACGTTATATAACATATTATTACTTTGTTTTGTACCTTTGTACTTTTCTGTACATAATCACGTAAAACTTACTGTAAATTAAATTTGAAATTAAATTGCCATGTCGTATAACTACCACCAGGTGTATTTCCCGATTCGTCGAGAAATGTAAGACCAAGTTGAATTATCCGTAAGAGATCTACATTACATCGTAATAATTGATACTGATAATCAGCGCTAGTCCTGAATTCACCTATAATAAATAAGCATGATATTTTATTTCATGGATAAATATAAAATTAAATTAGAATTTTATTATATTTTACCAATGGGCCTAGCAACTACTCCAGGAAATTCAGTGTCCATCGCGATATATTGATATTGTTGTACGACTTGTCGAATTGTTCGAAATTCTTCTTCAAGGTTATGACCCCAAACATCTCGAATCCCACATTCTTCATTAGTGGGCATAGTCGCCCCACCCTTCTGCTGCCCTATAGGGTTACTTCCTCCTGAAAATATGTACAAATATATACATTATTCTAAGTGAAATAATAAAAGCAAAAATGACAATTGTGATAATTGGCATCTCAGACGTCATATACTAATGAAGCAACTATACATATTTCATATGATATTTTTCTCTTATCGTTTGAAAAACTAATACATAGTTCAATCATATTTTATGGTATAATTGTTTCATTGTAAATAGTGGAAAAAACCATTTTTGATTGGTATTGTTTGTATATACAATCTGTTTTATTGCCTTGAGTAAGCATTAGTTCTTGAATAACAGAAACTAATTACTAATATTACACACAGGTACAGACCAACCATAAATGAAGATTTTGTGAAACTGTTAGATATACAGTGATATCTCAATATGGAAGCAGAATTTTATTGTTATATCTTGGTCAATGGTCTTATACCTTATGTCATATTAATATAAACAATACAAAAAGATTCCTAAAACATGTTTTTCTATCACGTTATGTCAAATTATAATAAATGCTATGTAAATAGAATATTTTGTAATATTTCTTTATAAATTAAAAATTTTATTATTTATCTTATGGAGCCTACGTAATCGCTCGTATAACTGCACCTTCTAGAATTTGTGCATTCTTCTGAAATTCTCTGAAAGCGCACACCTTTTCTTGCAGCAACATCGACTGAATATTTCTTGGGAACTTCATCGCATGTTTTAATCTATTCTATTACTTTCAAAGAGGACTTCAATTATGTAGTTCTTCTGGAAGGATGTTTGACGTAATACCACCCACACAAATCCAAAGTACTTTATCTATTTTGCTTCACAGTTCCTGCAATATGTATGTGCCATATTCATTATTTAAAGGTCATATATCAATGTTACACCTTCGATATTGATTATACAATCAAATATTATTTAACTTGAATAAATATGTGTCAAGTCTAACACTTCTCAAGGCTTAAGTTTATAAATTTTACTATGATTCCTATTAATGTAAGTTACAGAATTAATATAATACAAAAATTATGTACAAAACAGTACCTTTCTAAAAAAAATAAATAATTATATATTTACAATATGTTTAATACATACCGGTAGCTGAGGGCATAAGGTTAGATATTCCTGTCGTCACCGGGGCTATTTTTATGTTTAATTCCCACTGTCACAGCTTTACCTTCTTCATATCACTGTAAATATACATGTAAATATTATGACTTGTTATCCCATTTTTAATGTATGATATATACATTTAATCTTAGAAACTTTATTTCTATATATTACAGAGGTGTGAAATTTAGAAACGGTAAACAAATTTGAATTCAATGTTTCATAAATAACATTTTAATGTAAAGGTTAGAAGTCCGCGCAAACAAGTATTGTTCTTTTACAACGATTGTATGTTAAATAAAAATTTTAAAATATTATTTTATTATAAAACATGACAGAAAAATAATATGAAACGATAAGAAATTATCTTGTGAAGTGTTCATTTCGAAATAAATATATACGTGGAAACATAGGTTATGTATTATGGATAAACAAAAGCAATTTGTTCAAGCGAATATGAAAGAAATAAATGTTATAATGCACCTCTCTGTATGCTCGTTTCTCCACACGATGTTTTTTTGCGTGTTAAGCGAAATAAAGCTTTATAAAACACTTATCGCGTTTTTAAATCTTCTGTCACACTGCAAACAGGTTAAACGAATGTCCAAACTCAAAGCAGCAATTCCCTCTATATACTACCTGAAGTTAGGGCGCCAAAATCGCTGAAGTAGACATCTTGGTTCGTGGCGTTGCTAAGATCACAGATATAGCATTCGTCTGTAACTACCAAAGGAGATATAAAAAAAAAATGTTTCCTTACATTAATAATTTCAAAATACGCGTGAAAATGTAAGTATTACATTTTAATTAAAAATTGGAGTACTAAAATATTTATGCTACCGGGATACTTAAGGAATAACTTGTTTAAAAAATTTTATTCGTACACGAATTTAATATCATTTTTAAAAAGAAATATGTATACAATCGTACAAAATAGTGATGTTATAATTTTATTAATTTATAAACATTCAATAAAGTTATAAGGGTATAAGTTAAGTTAAGCATAATCATAATATAAAAAAAGAATAACAAGTTATTCTAAACCATTTCACAATATTTTATTGTTGCTGTGTGGCTGTGTGACAAAAACAAAATAAAAAAGTAAATCTATTACCCAACATGCTCTTTTGTTCCACATTTCACAGGTTTTAGGTTTCGCATTCTTTAGAGTCATTTTCAATATTACCGATTCAGCACAAAATTGCTTTCAATTGAATAACACTCCTTTATAGAATTTTCATACTGTGAGAGCACATGAAAACAACTAGGTATACCGACGTAAAGTTCTCTATTTTACTTACGTGTGGTTGAATCGATCAACTTGTGTTCCACCTCAGAAATACATTTTTATATCACACGTTTATTCGTATAAAAATCGATTGAAATATCAATTAAAATGAATGAAATGAACAACTCACTATTCCAATAAATATATATATTCGCGAAATTTGTTAAAATCGTGAATATTAATTTTTTTATACGATAAATAATGGTCCTCGTATGTGATGATCATTGGTCAAGTGATTGAAATGAATTTTTAGTAACTACTTTCTCAATTTCATTTTAAAAAGACTTTTTCCTATGCTTGTAATATAATACTTTTCATTCAACCTGCGATAAAAAGGTAACAAAAAATCGTGGCTTTTAAGGGGTCTTTATAGAGGAGAAACTTCCCCCTACAATATACATTTAAAGTAAATAGCAGAAAAAACTTATCAAGGTTTGCAAGATTATTAAAACATATCGTAGATTTAAAGAAAAAACTACTCTTAATTTTCCACTGTATTTTTTGAAATTCGGAAATTTTCAAGAACCTACTGTACACGTACATTAAAGTAGAGACTTCCAGCTTTAAAACAAGTCAAAGTTTATTGTCTTACGATATTTCATTACAAAGTTACAGCAATTCGAAGATTGACAATTTTTCGACGAATATTTCTTCATTGTGATTTCTTAATTATATCGTTTAATATATCATTTAATATATCGTTTAATACAGTATTTAATACATTCTGTAAATAGTTGTAAGCTAATACTGCTGTTTCAATATAGAAAATCCTTTTTACTTTATGGTGTCTTCCGGAACTTCTTCTAGCGTCTTACCGTAGGCTACCATACTTCGCGATATATATATGCAAGATCGATAGGCCCTCCACTCGCCGCTAGATGGATGCTGATCGATTCTTTCTCGCAAGTGCTTTTAATCACCCTCCAGTATAAGTATCTGACCTCAGAATCGGTTTCTCTGTGCACTGTCGGCTCTTAACCGAGTCGTGCTTGTTCTTTCTGAAAGCGGGGTACATGCTTCTTCATGTTGATTATAGTCCATGAATAAAGCGTCGTTTCCACGTATTCCTTTCTTTTTATACGTATCCTCATTGTAACATGTTTAAACCATTGTGGCTTTCTGGGGATACTTTCATGGTATCTCGTGGATATGTTCTTTCTTCGTCATACACCGTGGTTGATTGTCCTTCTTCCTCTCTCGGGACCCATGTACTGAGTAGAAAAAAGTGACACTTTGACCAGTCTAGACCCTAACGGGCTTATGCCGTTTCATCACCTCGATCTAGACCTTATTAAATATTATATATATAAAATATTTGAAAAAGGTGCTATAAGGATTTTAATATCATCATTTTAAGGATGACGTTAACATACTCAAATACTTATAACGAGGGTAGCAAGGGTTTTTGTTTTATTATAACATGACGAATACAATTCAATCCATAAAGCATATTTACAAAGCATATAATATGAATATAACAATTACGATAATAGAAATCAAATTGTAATTGACTTATAATAATTATAATTGACTATAGAGTTGACTGTTTAATCAATTCAGTAACATATGACGATTATTGCAAATAACAGGATAAAATAATTTTAATCCAATAATTGTACTACGCGGTCATCGTTATTATTGGGTCACCTTGAAAATTGTTGCAGCTCTTGATTCGTTCACTTTAAAGCAATATAACTTCGCTAATATCTAATATCATTTAATAAAAATCAATCTCAAGTACTTACGAATAAAACGAACATAATGTAGAAATCGCTTTCTATGAGCTTTCAAATTGTCATAATTCTAAAATTATGAAACCTTTTCAATTATATTGAATTTATTCCATTTATTGGATAAGAAAAGAAATTTTGGAAATAGGAGAACCTCGAAAATATTATCTATTAACTTCTGTGTTATAAATGCCCAAATGTCATATATATACCTACATAAATACCTTTACATTATACGACTAAAGTGTATTGAATATAATAATGACCATTGTAAATTAAAATTCTGAATTTTTGCGAAGTTATGTTATTTAAAAATTAACGTTTAAAAACTGCGAGAATATTCAAAACCAGTCAATACATAAAAAAAGGATCAGACTTAATTTTCTATACATGCAAATATGATATTTAATAGCGAATGTAAATGATATCTATATTTCCATTTTCAGTCAGAAATATTTGTCTCGTCAATTTCACGATGTACGTTCATTTCACCATATCATATCAGTTTCGGATTTCGTTCGAGCTAAAGGATTTAAACATAAATTCTTGAGAACTTGCACAGCATCCTCGCCATCGTCCCTCGCGTACAAGGTTCGCCTTTTAGTGGTTCCAACATCGAATGATTTTCTACGAAGACTATTGGTAAGAGAATTTTCTTTATTTTTCCGTCCATCTAACCTTGCCTTTTGTTTTATAGAACTTTTGGACGAAAATGTGCCCGTTTTCTTTGCCTTGAACGAAGGTTGTCGACTCCTTCTCTTTTTAACGTGACTACCTCCCGCTGCTAAAGAATCTACTGACTTTACCGACGGATACTCAATTTTCCTATGAAACTCTCTCAAATCTGAAGCACGATTCCTCCTAGAAATACTCTGATTCGGTGGCATTTTTCTTTTAGGATGAGTCCGATGACGAAAATTAATCGAAGCACGTGATCCTTTGAAAATCGGCTTTAACGTCCCCAAAACTCTGCCTTTAACTCTCAAGGGTTCCAACAGTTCATGATCGTGCCACGAAGCCACTACAGGCAAACCACACGCATTATGCATGCCCACTAATGGTACACCAATAGCTCGATGTTTGTTCATTTCGGGGAATACTTGATAAGTGTCGAGAGATTCCCAATTTCGACTACTACGTTTAGCATTCTCCTCGTAGGCCGATATTTTTTGGCCAACGTTTCCACGTTCGAGGCTAATAGTTCCCCATTTGCTTCTGGCCCGTGATTCCTCGTTCTTCAAACGCTTTAATCCCGCATTTTCAAGCATTTCTTCTTTAGATTGTCTCCTATTTTTCGTATCCTTCGATCTTCGACGGCTGGAACTGAATTTCTGAGGGGGAGTTTTATGCAAATAGTCACCGAAATCGCTGAAATCTTCATCATCCTTTTGCACGGAAACGTTGTGTTCGCTTCTGATTACCCTCCTGTCTAAGGTTTTCAACCTCGAATTAATTTTGCGATGCCCACTTTGAATTTCGCGCTGATAGTCGCAAGAGTGACAAGATCTTCTGGATGGATTCAAGGTTTCCGAACGCTTCGATCGTCGAATTTGAGATTCAACTTCGTTTTGAGGCGAAGGCACTGTCTTGTATTTCGTCACGCACAGGCTTTTATCTGGTTCGGACATCGAAGATTCGAATTGAAGTTGAGGTGCCTCTGACCGTCTGAGCGTGCCGATGTTATGCGCTATCGAAGCCTGATAATTTTTTATTGGAATATTCCTAACAGTACCGCTGCTATTATGTAACCTCGACTTTGTTTCATTCTTTTTATCATCGCGAATTTTATCGGTATCATTCTTCTCTTTGGGCGAATTTTTATGGAAGTAGTCTGGCACCACATCGATTGCGCGTTCCTCGTAGAGTTGATCGCTTCTTAATATATTTTCGTCGAATTTTGGGGGATTTTTCCATTCTTCGATTATACTCTTACTGAATCTCCTTACGTCGTTAAGCCTAGATAAATGCGACGCAATTTTCGTATTTTTGACGTCGATTGATGATTTACCCTCACTGCCCTCTAGCCACCTTCATGACTTACTGCCGAATGCAGTTCCGCTTGCGTGCATTCGATTTTCGATCCCTAAGCCTACGAACAATTAAAAATTAAATATCAAAATGGTATATATATATTTTTTTGTGAAGTTGTAATTAAAATGAAGAAATAACGAAATTTATTTACCAAAATCGTGATCACTTTCGCTAAATGGACTAAGCGTTTGCGTAGATGTAAATGTCGATGCTTGAGATTTGGTTCTCTTGTTGCCTTTTGAACAAACAAAGAATGTGCTCAGAAGTGCACCCATTTCCACGAAAATCACGGCGAGTCCAATCGTAAGTAGTATTAACGCCTGATCTTGGGTCCATTTTTCTAGCATCTCTAGGCAACCCTGTCGAAAAAATATTTTCTTTTTATTACATCAATACGGTTGTTTATAAAAGTGTGAAATATAAGAAAGAAAATAACTTCAAGCATAAAAGTAGATTCACCTAAGTTAATGTATTGCATTAGGTCAGACTTACTAAACAAAACAGGAATGATCAAATAATAAAATAAAAAGACAAAATTTTAAATATTTGTCTATTTTAATACTACAAAACAAGAAAGAATTATATATATAATTATGAAATAATTATGATAATACCATTACTAAACTTCCTAACAACTATTCCTAATATCTAATGGCTACAATAAGGAAATCAAGGTTATCTTGAAATAACGATGCTTTTACCAACTTTATAAACTCTTCAAATTTCAAAGTACTTTACGAAGTATGCTCATTCATAAATTATAGTCTTTTATAGGCCACACAAAACCCTCGTACATGGAGATAATGCCATCGTGTACGTAGACAGCGTCACTGTGCGATGACATTTCAATCTGCATTGAATTTCTGCGCAGCCGTGCAAAATTTAATACGCGCCACCGGTGAAAGATAAGAAAACTTTCTCGCACAATACGCCAACTTCACGGCCGCGTTTTTTCCATCGGGTTTACCGACGGATGCGTCAGTTTCCAGATACGATACAGATTGAACGATACATCAGCGCCGCTTTTACGCAACCCGCATCCGACTGAATTTCCCTTAGGCTGTGACATTTGCATGCGGGTCATTATCGAACGTGTGCGTGTGTCATACAAAGAGTATCGACGGTCGTTTTCATTTTGTCCTGATTTTACGTTCATCGAAGCGGCATAGTTATTGTGAAAATTCGCAGGAAAAAATCGTGTAATGCATCATTACATGATCCAATATGAAGAAAAAATTCAATGATTTCGTTATTTCCTATCGAAGATGAAAATATTGAAGGCAAGGTGTTCATATAATTTTATGCAACAAATAAAATGGACCATTATCGTTTGAACCAATTTTCATTAAACTCGCTACATACCGAATTATCAAAGTAGCTTCAATTATGTGCGCTATATACATGATTTTCAAATTGTAACTAAAATATAATTTCATCCGTTCTAGATAAACTGTTATCCTCCATGAAATTATTCAACATTCGTGAAATATTTTTATATCGAATTAACACGTCCCCGCTCTATATCGTTTCAACCAACGACTGATAACGTCAATTACTATTACATATTATTGTACCAATGGGGCCGTGTCACTTGTCACGATGTTTACACCCGATTCCTTTCGTTCGTTTAACAACATCCTGATTAACGATACGTACCATGGTATGCCGGGCGTATTGATGTTCGGCTGGATTCAAAGCTTGGCAGAGAGTAAGATTGGCAGGTTCAGGGTTGAGGAAGGAGTCTGTCTGGTTCACGTTATTCAGGGTGCAGCAACTGAGAGGCACCACTAATTCTCTTCGGCCGACTTCCTGCAGTCGCCACCACGAGGTGCCGTAATTGCTGCTTCCGTTTATGCCGCAGCAAGCAAACTGGAAAGATCGACGCAATTTCGCGTTGAAAGGTGTGTGCGTGTAATTGCCTTTTGCCAAGCGATTGATCAAACGATCGTAGGTTTCGGGGAATGGAAACGAATGCTCTTCTGCGTTTCGAATCGCTCGTCGAACGCGAATCGAGTGTGTCTGTCGTTTTATTACGAAGCGTTTCGCCTCGGGAATAGCAACATACCGTTGTTTGTACGAGATCAAGGGCTGCCGTGAATTGTTCTCGGCCAGGAACGGCGTAGCTACGTTGTAAAGCCCGTATCAATCGTGCTGGTCTGACATCGATGCCTAGAACGTGAGGCCAGAACACCACTAGAACGCACACGGTGCATTCGCCGAGCAATAGCAGGATTATTGTGACGAGGTACTGGAAATACGAAACAAAATGTAACGAGCAAAGTAATTAAAAGGCACGATAAAGTCGAGAGAATACCGAAGGCAAAAGTTTCAAGCAAAATGTAACGAGTGAAATAATTAAGAGTGATTTACTGGTTATTGAATGTTTAATGTTTGGATCGTACAGTTGGATCTTTACGGTACATACATGAGGAGATTTTTATTACCTCGTGCTAGCATATCATAAATATTTACATAGGTATATGCATTTGATTAAATGCCTTTAATTAATTAACTGTGTATCGGTATTTATATCGTTAATCGATTATAATTCTATTTATTAAATGACTCTCTATTTCGTTGAAATACTACGCGAAGCAGTAATTTATTAAAATTATCGATATGTTGTACTTTACAAAAATATTAGGTTTATATCCCTCAGCTTTTCAAGCATGCTTTCTTAATCATTCAAAGCGGTATACCTGCCAGACAAATTGCTTCAATGCATTTCACCCACTTTAATATTTCGCAGCAATGCATAAGAACACGTTTGTCAGAAAAATATTGCAAATAACAACTAAAATGCGTATATCTGCTAAACAGCACTACGATAGTAACGATTAATATTAATTCGTTTATCGAAATGCTCTTTCAATCTCTACAAGAGATACATATCTTTCTTCGTTATCTTTTCTCGCAAATTTTAAATTTGTCTCGTAAAAATGAAAATCGAACGCTCTCCACGTATCTTTAACGCGAGTAATACGAGTCGCGAATTCTATAACAGAGATGCAGTGATTTTGAAAAAACACTGTTAAAAATAATAACAGACCAGTGTTTGTATCTGCCATCCGTTCACAAGTGATACGGTGAAACAGGAGAACGTTGCCTCGTTCGTTGACTCAAACGGTCACACCTTCTACCTGTATCTTGCAAACAGACTGTTACTAATAAAAAGTGGAATCCCCGCGCATTCACAGCTAATTAGCTATCTACGATCTTGGTATCGTCGTTTGCCCGATTTTTGCATCGCGATCGCGTGCGTTCGATATAAACATATCGGACATATTTCATGGAACGGTTATCGCGCAGTCGCTTGTCTAATAAGCTCTTCGCCGAAGTAATTGCTGTTTTTAAGTGATACGCGAATTCGCCCTCCTTCCGTGAACACGCGTGCCTGGATCTATGTAGATCCGTTTCCGGGCAGCGACGCGTGACCGTAGTCCGGCAAAGCGGGAAATCTGGTTTCAGTTTGGTCCGTCGAGCGGACTCAACAACGAAGAAGCGCGTGAATCGTGCAGACCTTGACTTTTGTACAATTAAAATGCGCGGCTGCTTCAGGAGTACGGTGGAATTGTAGCGCTGCGTAACGCGATACGAAATATCCATAGCTTTATAAACACGCGTAGCCTCTTACACTCGGAGCCTCTTAGATCCTTTCTTTGCGAACGTCAAATTTTATTATACAAATCGAACTTTGAGGGCGTGAAATCTCATATGAAAGTTAATACCCGGTGTTAGAGAAGTATCGTCTCGTTTGTAAGTCTCTTATCGACATTCGAGTCGACGAATTTAAACACTGCACGCAGTGTGAGTTGCTTGAAATTTTTAAATTACAATGTGTATCATCAGATAAACTTTAACTCGACTAAATATGTTGAAAATTCATTCCTTTCTTTTTTCCGATTTAATTTAATTAGTGAAACAGAGAGTACCCTTATGTTAAAGAAAAAATTAATAACATATATTGCAGTTCGATATTTTTGATGAAAAGGTAGTAAAAATCACTAAAATAAACTTTTAAAGATAGATTTCCAAATACTGTGATCTTCTGCATGTACAAATAGGAATGAAATTATATAAGTATGGAAGACTTCAAAATTGATGTGTAACATGACATTACTTTAATTTCAGAATAAGTTTATAGACAAGTATATATCATAAAAAATAAAACAGAATATATTTAACATATTTTGCAGATTTATTGTCGTGTCTATATCAGTCTGTCTTATTTAGTATCCTAATCTTATCCTATCCCCATTGTGCCCATTTAAATAATTAAGAGAAGTAAAGAATTGTACTTGTTGTTTTAAGTATTACCGTTAATATCACTAGGGAATCGTTTGGAGTCCTATAGTGTACAACAAAAATTTATATATTCTTACTGAAACTGTAACGCATCGATTGTAAAGACAAGTTGCCCAGCACCCTAGCAGACCCGTGAGCGTGATCAGAAATCCGAGTCCAACGACAGCGAATGCCAAGTAATAAAATAGCGGTTGATGAGGATGTATATCACCTGGTCCCAATAAACGCGACAGTAGGATACGTTCATCGTCAGCTAATAACAGCGCCCCCAGTGACATCAACGCAAAACCTGATATCTGGAAACGAAGGTAACATTTTCAAATTCTAATATTTATCAACTTTTTTTGTATCAAATTTGCCGTCTTCGAAATTAAGCCACAGTAATTTCAAATTCGAGGAATATCCATTTACTTATTATAACAAAAATATATACAAAAACACGAACACTCTATTCGTCGTATAATAATTATTCGAAAAGGAACGCATTTATTTTGTTAAAACTCACCAGGAAGATGACATTCGAGCAACATACGAAAATTCGCGTCACACCGGAGTTTTTACTTTCCATTTTAATTCATCGAATTCTTTATTTTCTCGTGCGTTAATGCGCGCGTGACAACTGGTCACGTTAATTCTTCACGATGACACTCCATTAATGGCAGCAATAAACGGGAATATTAACACGCCGAGGAAAATTTATTTCGAATGGTTTCCTTTTATGTCGTACCACCGATAGTTCTACCCTTGTTTTTCCTTTTCAATTCCGAAGCGCACTTGCCCGCGTTTACTAGAAGACTAAAAAGCCGCCGCGTGATAGATGGTTCTACAGTGCCGTATGAATACAGGCATCTGTAGGTGCGCTTGCGTTACGTGCCCTCATGCGCGACCGACCGGATGGAACCGGAAGGAAATAGAAAGGCACCAAACAAAAAAACTCGCAGGAGGGGATGAAATATCCATACACATGTACTTATGGGATTGTTACAGATATAACTGGTTTATGTCGAACTCCGCGCAGGGGGAGCTGCCGTCAATCGGCGCGATCGTCACGGATGAGTAATAGTCGATTTGTTTATGTCCGTTCGCGTTCACGCAATTTTTAATTCGTACGTTCAATACATCTCTGATGCACGGAAAACGAAATTTGGAGAGGTAAGTTAATAACATGTAACAATAATAATGCAATTCCACGAATAATAGTTATTTAATAGTTAGCAAGTTTTTGAAAAGTTATTACATTTCTGTAAACATTAATTTTTTTTATTGTAATGCAGTAACATATATAAAATACTTTAACCCTCTATTTACCCGTGTAACTTTCAAGTTACATATTAATGTATCGATATTTTATCGAATGAACTTTTTCCTACAAGATGCTGTATACGTCTTTTACAGTGTCTTTTCACTTACGTGTAAACGTTGTAAACTGTTGTTACTTCAAAACTGCAGTATGTATTCATCATAATAAAATTGTTGAAACTTCTGAATTCATTGTTAATCTATATTTATAGGTTGATATTTGTTGATTTTACGTTACGTCAATCTTTTTATAGTCGAGAACAATATTCGGCACATAGAAGGTTAAATAACCTATTTAGTCATAACATTCTAACATAATCGATATATATCGTAGATTGTAAATTGATTATATCACGAAAATTGAAAAGTTTCGGGGTGCTCGTTGTAGAAAATAAGAATTTCGATTTCTTTTAAAATAAGAAAGACAACATTTGACTGGATTTCAATTGGATAGTAAACTTTAGAAAAATTATTTTATATCATCTTAATTATTTCTAATATTTATATTAACTTGTAATATACCGTAAAACAGATAGGTGTGTTATACGTATTATTGTGTGTTCACGAAGCCTATCTCCTCTCTTCTACATTAATTCACGCGGCGTATTATGCATTTCTGATTCAAAAAGAGCGTATGACGCATACTCGGAAGATGTTACTATTAGGTTCTAGAAGAAAAAATCAAAGCAATAAGAAAATAACATGCTTTTAATAACATTAAAAAACATTTAGTTTATATTATATTTAATAATGTTCATACTAAATATTTTATATAAAAAGCAAGAATGTCTTAAATACATAGTATTACATTTTTTTCAAAAATCTATCAAATTCTTATGAGATTGATCAGAACACCCAAATTGAGGTACGGTTTCATCTTGTTCTCGTTGTGTAGTGTCTTCAAATTCAGGTGGCAGATGTAAAACCTAAAATTAAATTAGAAACATTATATATAGAAAGAAAAATTGTAATATTATTATACTTCTAATTTTAGTTTTACCTCGATAATAAATCTTTTACGACGTAATTTAAATACAAGATCTCGAGAATCTGGATTATGAGGTGCTATGGTATTTAAAGCAAGCATTTTTTGAAGGTGGAACAAACCATGATAGTCCTTAAATAATGGATTTGTTTCTTTTTGTGAGCCTGCAAATGATTCTAATTTAATTGCAATATCTGATAAGTGCTCGATTTGCTGCACAATAGCATCCTATAAAATAGTTATTATAAGTGCATTGATATTTGTACAAAGTAATTTTCTGTATAACGTATAAGTATAAAACATACAGAATTATTGAAACATTCTACAGGTACTGTAATCACTCCAACTGCATAAGAATATCTTAAAAGTGCTCGTAAGTAATATAAAAATTTTAACAAGTCTTGATGTGACTCAACTTCAGAATCGCTGCACCATAATGTTGATCCTAAGGAATGGATTGCAATTCTTAGAACTTGTCTTTTTGTAGGCATTTCTGAAACCGAGTATTGTCCCTGCTTCAGAGTTTCTTGAATGCATTTTAATAAGCTTGAATATGTCATATTGTTAAAAACAGTGTCTTTTTCTGGACAACTATCATCATACCACTGTATTATATCTGCTTTTTCAATTACTTCTTTTTCCATTGTTTTTGTAAGATCATATAAATGAGCAAAATCTTGTCCTCCAATTGGGGAAGTATCGACTACTTTCATATTTTGATACCTCCAAGCAATTTGCATTTGTTCATCAGAACTGGAAGATTGATCGATTGATGCAGTATCTGTTATAACAGCTGGCATTTCTGATATAAACTGTGATGTTTCAATATCTTTAGAACCAATTAATAATGGTTGAGCTGTAACCACGCTTTCAGCCATAAAGTACTGTAACATAATTCTTGCGTATGTACCATATTGATCTTCCTCTAAAAATGAAAAATATTTTACATATGTTATTTATATTATTAGTCTTATTAATCTTAATATATTTATTTATTACATACCAATAAGGAACAGAGAACCAAGGGGTAATCCTCCACCTAAAAAAATTAGTTAAGCATAATAATAAATATAATAAAGAATTATCAACAAAATTATTTAATTACAAGTAAAGAAATTCTATTCAAACCTATTAAATGATCTAAGGAAGGAATTCCAGATGATATAAGTAGTTGTGAATTTTTTATCGAAGGCTTTGTTCCTGGTATAAAAGGAATTCTGCTATCTTTCGCAGTACTTAAATCCATTCTTCTACTACTAAGTCTGCTTTTAAATTAAAAAGTAATGATGCATTTATTTAAAACCTTTTTTCTTATTAATGATACTTATTCATTTCTTAGCTATAAAACTATCACTACACACATAACACAATAAATATTACATACGTGAAGTAATAACATAAAATCAATATTATTTACACTATAAAACTTTTATTTAAAAAATGAGTATTTATGATAAATCTCGATTCACGTGTTCAACAGTCTGCATTTTAAGGTTATGTTTGCACAAATTATACGATATATTCTATAGTTTCATATATCATTACAGTATAGTATATACATTATATAATGCATATCCAATAATTTCTCGGTTGAGATATGTACAGTTATTTCATAAAAACAATATTTATATAGAGTAATTTAATGTTTTATCGATTGGAGCAAAAATATTTCTTATATTAAATAGACAAAAGATGACAGCACTTACAGCTGGTTGACAGTTGACAGTTGACACATTTACAGTTTGTAATTCTTCAGTTAGGATGCACCCATTTAGTCTCTGAAATTATTATTTACCGGTTAAACATATACAGTACTATGCAGGTATATAGCTTTCTTAACGCATTTGTATACAAGAATTAATAATGTTATGTAAATAAAAATGGTACGTACTTACTTTATAGTAGATATAACATTACTAAAAATTATTTACTATTGAAAACATTTGATGTAATTGTTTTGGGTTATAACAAGACTTCTTTCTTTTTACAAAATTTGTTTACCATAAAATGTTTGCAACGAATATATCAATTAATTGGCCAAATATATCTACACGACATTATTATAAATTAACAAAAAAATTAATATAAATATCTTTTATTTCACATTTACATAATTTTATTTGAAAAAGATATGTATGCGCAGATAAGTTGATAAAATATAAACGTATAAAGATCATAAATTTCCTTAAACGGTTTTACACTATGTAAAATTATTTCTAGAAGTTCTACATCGCTTCGAAAAGATTTAACGGCAGACTACGGAAGCGCGTCCCTGTGTTAGAGATAGAAGGGGAACCCATAGGGAGGGACTAAAATACATAAGTGTAAGAGAAAGAAAGGGCGATAGAGTGTATAAGCTAGAGAGAGAAGGAGTAAAGGGAACGCGTGAGTAACCCGTCTCGTGCATGTTAGATTCAAAGCTGTGGCACGGACAGTTGTGCACAGGCACGATGTGGAGGTATCCGACCAACAGTCGAAGCCCCTCCCTGTTACTATCCCATCTTTCTCCCTTTCTAGCATATTACATTCGATCGTCTTCCTTCTACTTCTCCAGCGTTTCCCCTTCCATTGGCATGTTTTCTTTTTCCAGCACACTCGTGCCAACCTATCGATCTCTCGCTCACTCGCCTGGTCTTTTCCTTTCTTTCTACAGATAGGCCGAGCACGCTGCCCTCGCTCAACTACCTGTTGTGACGTCCAACGTGCACTCGACGACGCATTGGGACAATCGAAAGATTCAGAGCACGCGGCATACACTGCTGTTTCTCGTGTGTGCCGCATATACCTTTCCTCATGATCGGCAGGATGCTCGTACACCGTCCTCCGTTCACAAGAAAGTCTTTCGTTGGTAAAGCGTGTGCCCGATCTCCGAAGCAGAGCTGATATTAACCCGCGAAAGGCTTGTCGCGCACTCCCACTGAGATCCCGCTTTCCGTCCCTCGTGTAGACGCGCGTCGCGATGTGAAGGAGTGGGAAGAAAAAAGAATAGAAAGAGAGAAAGAACGTTAGAGAGAGGCTCTTATTGAGAAGTAGTTAGACTTTAGCAACTAAGGACGGTATTGGAGACATATTTTAAAACGTATACGAGAGACAATATTGATTTTTTTGATCTTTTATACGGCAATTTGTATCAATTGCCACGCTGATATATCGTAAGTCTTCTTTTGTAAAAACATTATAGATTTTACAATTTTTGAATACACGTTGAAACGAAATTATTCATATAAAAGTCCTGTATTAATTCCTTTTTTCTCAAATAATTGTATAAAACAAAAATTATTTATTAATTATATTTATTACACGATAAGATATTTGCATTGATATTAAATTTTACGTTTCTAGAGAAATATTCAATGATTATGTCTCATATTTTCTTCTAAATAAATTTTACACTAAATAAAATTAATGAACATGTACATAATAACTTTAATTTTAAATATTTATATCGATAAATATTTTATTCTAACTTTATCGAATTAATTATGGCATTATCTTGTTAAAATATATTTATTAAAATAAGAAAATAATATATTACAAATAAGAAACACAATTTTGTATTCAAAAGATGCTTAATAATTATGTTAAACACGTTTCAAGAAAATATACGTTTCATATATGGCGCCAATTCTCCGTAGTTATAAAGATCACTATCAGATGGCGTGGCAATTTGGGCGCCTCTTGTATACACGGAGTTTCCAGGCCCTGAACTTAGTCGCGCGCGGTGAACGTTCCGTCCTACCGTCGAATCTTCGCGCGCGTCGCGTCGAGAGTGACAGTTCGAAAACTTCTTTTATACGGAAGACAAATGCTAGCGCTCGGGTCGCGAACGTCGCTACGTTGTCAATAAAGTAACGGAACGCGGACAGTAGAGACTCCGAGGGAGCGTCGTGTACTCATTACCGACTCAGAAAATACCGTGGCAATCTCGTGCGATGTGTGTTCGCGTGGAGGCTGAACTGCGGTGACTCGTTGCGTTGGAACGACACGGACTTCACGGTATACCGTTCAGTCACGTGGCATCGGAATAAAACGCGGAGAATAGTATCGGCGGTATGTCGCGATGTCAACAACCGGACAGACAAAACAGTGCCTAAACGTGACATTGGTGCGTGTCTAGTGTGATAAAAGGTGACGAACATTGTTTATAGTGACTCGCGTCGTCGTTCCCGCAGTTCGAACGTTCGATTGAAACGAAGAGTGACAAAGGACCGAAAGTGTGAATTGAAGGACAATTTAACTGAGGATTTATTCATCCAGCGATATCGTACTCTTACGTCTGACGGTGGTGCGTGTACGTATGTATATTACGCTTCCAGCGAAGAAGAATTGAACGAAGCTACCGATCGAACAGTCGACGCGAAGCGTGGTGTATCGTAATAAAATAACCGGTGGCGGCGAGCGTCAGAGAGAAGCAAGTGCGCGGTGCAGCGGTGTCGAGGCGCGAACGACGACATATTCCAAATGCGTCTTGACCGGAAGTTGAGGATCGTCGCATTGGCAGGGTGGCAGAGGATGCCCGGCTCGAGGGCAGCGGCGGGAGACGAGGTCGCAGCAGTAGCAGTAGCGTGCGTCAGGCGCTTCGGTAGCAGAGGTTCTCACTGAGCTGGCTTACCCTGCGGTGGATTTAGGGGGCTGTATGGAGGCCGGGGGGCTCCTGCCCCGCCAGCCCCCGCAAGGCCCCCCCGGCACCGCGCCTGGCCCGATCTCGGTCTGCGTGGGCCAGGCTCCTAATACAAATAATAATAACGCCAACGTAAACAACCTGCAGAACAACGTTCTAGGCCAATCAGCCGGGATTCACGATTTAAACGCGACCGGCCAGTTGAACGTAACCAGCCAACAGCTGCAGTTGCAGCAACAAATGGGTCAAGCACCTGGCATGGGTGAGGTACTCACCCCCAAGAGACAGGCGGTCGTCGATCGTCTGAGACGAAGGATTGAGAATTATCGGCGTAGACAAACCGATTGCATACCGAGATTCGATCAGAGCTTCAATGGTCTGTGCGAGCAGAATATTCAGGACACTCTGGTGCTGAAGCAACGTTTCCTGGAGAGCAAGGCGAAAAGGCAGGCGAAGAAAACGGACAAGAAGCAGAGCGAGCCAGTCGGTCTCTCCAGCGTTCACGTGGTGAGTCATTTACTCTACTTGTTGGCTTTCGTTCGTCTCCCGGTTGGCGTTCCTCGTCGCGGTGCCGCTTGTAGCCAGCGTAGGTGCTCGCACTCGCGGTGGCGCGCGCGCGCGCTCGCGCATGCCGGTCGTCAACCTCCCACTTCTTCCAAACTTCTTATCGCGTCTTCTCTTTCGCGCGCGACCTTGTTATTTCGCGCACTCGCTTCCGTCTATCGACGGCAGATTAATCATGCTTCGCGAACGCGATCACGACGTCCGCGGATCGTATCGTTGTTGCTATTGTGTTTGCCCGTCCGAAACGATCGGGCTCCAATCGAAACATCGTGATAATCGACTTTTAACGATCATCGTATATCATCGATGATGTACGTTACGAATTTTCCTGTCGAAAATTAAACGGGCTGGGTGCTCGGGATCGAGAGGCGTTCTCGGACGATGGATATCGTGCAAACACACGCGCGTCGCGATCCAGAAACGCGATCGTCGAGGGTCACGCGATTGAGAACATCTAAACTGTAGTATATAGCGAGTAAGCGGCACTCGGCAACTTGCCGGGTCAAGATTCTACTACACAGGTTTGGAATCGAAGCGCGGGCGTAATGAAATACCACGCTCTTTACACCTATCTACCGAGTTTCATTTACAAAGCGCTCCATGGACTGTTACCGCGCGTTGATAACATCTTTGATATTCTACCCGCCAAAATTTGCACGGGAATTTGATAAATATTTTTAGCAGGTTAAGGTGTGAAGGTCGCAGAATTTTTGGTATAGTATTAAGCATTGTAACCGAGGGATTATACTGAAGTTAAAATTGTGCTAGGCCTTATAGATTATTTCTATTTCTTGTTCACTTGTCAACGTAATAATTATGGAATAATTATTATTATAATCATTATCTCAATTATATAAAATTAATTTTATGAAATAATTATTTTACTTTCTGGGCATGAAACAATTCATCTACTTTTTATTTCTCGAACTCGTTTCTTTCTTCTTTTATTTTTTGTTTTTTCTTTTTTATTTGTTTAGATAGTATTTCGATTTTAAGTTTTAGAAAGAGGAAAAATGTGATGAAAGATATTAAATTGTACGTAGAGATTAGGAAAGTTTTAAGTTAGGAAAT